TTTTTAAACATCAACAGGTTTGCGTTGTCTGTGGGAAACACGAAAGAATTCTGTCATTCTCCTCTTCTTTAGTGCCCTTCGGCACCCTTACAATCAGTATCACCTAACTTGCCGTTCTGCAATATCATGCTGGAGCAATTGTGAATGCTAAGCAACAATTGCAAAAGATGACATTTCAAGGGAAGCCCACGTGGCCCACTTCCATGAGATAAATGGCATGTTCATAACCTTTTACATTATTTAATATTGGAGGAGAGAACCATCCATGGCATCAAGGAAAAGCCAACCAAAATGTGGCTATCACTTTGCATGGCTTGCATGACCAAGAGTGAAACCATCATCTCAACAAAATTCAAAGTGCCGAACGGTAATACCACCATTTCAAGTCCAAGAGGAAGCCCATGTAATTGGCCGTATGTCAAATCATGAGTCCTTACCATTCGGCACCTCTTTGAAGAGCAAAAAATATAGGGACTCAACCTTTTTCTGCAAGCCTTTGTCATTCAACGTATGTGATGCCTTCGGCACCCTGTCATCATTCGGCGTGTGTACACTTGCGAGTAAACTAACCAATTACGATTATATATATATTTTATGCCTCATTTACTTTTTTATTTGTTGATTTTCTTGGATTAAATTGGTTGTTTTAACTTGTTTTGTGAGATTTGTGAAGGAATTGTCAAATAGGAGAAATTGAGGTCAAAAGAGGTAAGAATATGAAGATTGGAGATTAATTAAAAAGAAGCTAAGTCATTTCTTTTGTCACAAGGAGTGTTGTCAAATTTTCTAGTTCAAGATGGTTCAAGTTTTACCAAGTCAAACAAGGAGAAATAAAGAAGACCCTATATTAGAAGGAATCCTATTTTTATAATAATTGTAATTATATCTTAGATAGGTAGGATTTCTAGGAGTATTATAAATAGGGAGTTTCGGCTATTGATCAAAGGATCCTCCACCTTAAAATTCCTACATATTCATACTCATAGCTGAAGCACCCAAAGGAGAATCCGAAGAGAGCTTGCGCAACCTTGGGATTCTACTTGGAGAATTCGGTGCCTTCCATGTCTTCATCGACCATCATGTTTCTCAACAAGTCTTTCATGAACTAATTTCTTTTACCAGGGCTACGATGTAGTCTAACTATGTGATAAATTCATATTTTGCATAATCTATCTCTATTTGCATTGTTTTCGTGTAAAATTGGTTAGTTTAATGTGTTTAGTGAGGATTTTGTAGGCAACCGTTCCTAGCAAGGGTTTGGAGCGAAAATTATAATTTTGGAAGCTTAAGGGATCAAAATGGGTGGAATTATCAACTCAACGAAATCTCAAGAACTCACTTTGTCATTTCATCGAACACATGGAGTGCATTTGTGCAAGTGTCAATTTATACCCACAACTGGTCTCAGTGACCAGTGCTAGAAAGATAAAGTTAGATAAATTTACCATTATTTTGGAGCCGAAATCGTGCAAAGACCAGTAGAGGTGCTAGTTGATGTGCTTTTGCAGTTGCCTATTTCTTGAAGAAGTTGTTGTCGTCCATTGTCAAAGTTGGAGAAGACCCATTTCGTGCTTGCTAAGGAGTTGTCGCAGAATGAAGTATTGGCATTTGCTGAAGCAATGGCTGGGCTTTATTAATCATATTCAATATTGCATGGCTAGGCTTTAGATTTCGTGGGATTCAATATTACATGGCTAGGTTTTCTTTGCCGCATCCCTTTTTCTCTCAGCCAATAGGAGAAGTGCAACCTTCGAGTTGTAAAAGAATTAAAAGAGCCTCAGTAGCACTTTCCTCTCCTAAAAAGCCACTTTCCTAATTCCATCTTTGACTTGGAGGTTTTATTTCTAAGTCCCAGCCGCATCTTTTCTCTTGGTCGAATGGGTTTTTGCTGTTTCAAATATTCATATTATTTCTTTACTTCCTAAAACAAATTTTCCTTATTTCTAGAAGATTTCCTTGGCCTATAAATGCAAAACTTTAACCTAAAAGCCAATACCACCTTCTATCATATACAACTTTCATACACCCAAAAAATATATTAGAGAGAGCCAAGAGTTTGCTATTGTAGTGCTTTTGGAGCTTACGAAGGTGTTGCTGTCTAGAATCTAGAGATCAAATTCATTTGGCAAATTGGTTTTATGACAATAATTCTTTTGTTTATCTTTCTTTTGTCATGAACTAATTTTCCTTGCTAGGGCTACGATGCAGCCTAACCATGAATACTTAATTTTTATAGTTATATTAATCTCTTATTACTATTCCATGTTGAGTATTTGTTGCTCTTCTTAATGCTTTAAAAATTTAGCTAATATTTAATTGATTTGATGATCCAAATGGAGACCGAGAGGAGATGTTTGGTGTTTGCTTCCCATAACAAATACCATGTCTTAAATGAGTGCCTAAGAGGGACTAACATGACTCATGCAATTTTCTTACAGGTTCTCATAGAACTTAATGGGTTCTTAATTTTTTAAATCCGTTGCTCAAGAGAGAAGGTCCTGTTAATTGAGAATACTTTTGGTTGAGCTCAAGAGGGGATATCATATGAATTAGGAGAAACCAACTGTCAACATCGGTATTAATTATGGTTAATTGGTTACAAGAATTAAGTGAAATTGGTTATGGTGAAATCAGATGCTCTAGTGTCTCATCAACTTGATTTTCCACCGTTAATTAAATTGTTATTTTTCATATTTGTTTTAATTTAATTTAATAAATCAATCACTCTTATTAATCAATTGTTCAAATAAACTTATGAATTAATCATAATTGGTACTTAAAAAGAAATTACAGTTTTCGTGGGAACGACACTTCACTTATCTCTATATTACTTGTGCGGATTGTGCGCTTGCAAACATTTCACAACACTATGAATACTAAAATTCTTTGATACTATTAATTTTATTTATCTATTCATGTTGAGTGCTTGTTACCGTTCTTAATGCTTTCAATTAATTGGTCATTAATTGCATGATTAGAAGAATTGGGTTGAAGCCAGAAGAAGATGCCTAATAAATAGCTTCTTGTAACATGTACCATAAATTACACAGCCGACTTGGAAGATTAGGTTATGGGTTGTGTAGTCTTTAATGTTTTCCATAACTAGGAATAGAGTGGGTTGACGGTATGGAACACAACTAATATAACTCTGAAGAGAGTACTGGCAAGGTAAAGGAAAACGATTATCAATATGTTAGGTAATTAAGATTAACAAGCTAGAAAGATTTGGGTAGGATTAGTTAGGTGAAATCCGTGTCCAAATGCTTTATTATCTTTGTTTTCATCTTTTACATTGTTTACTTATTCTTATTTTACTTGTTTAATTACATTTTCATCATCTTAATCCTCTTATCGTCTAATTAAAATATAATTAGAAATAAATCACTCTAGTATTTAATAGATTAACTTCATCCCTATTGGAATGATACTCTATTTACCACTATATTAATTTGAGTGATATTGCCCACTTGCAATTAATCACAACAGTGTGCGATGCCTTTGACACCTTGCCTCTCCGACGCATGCGATACCTTCGGCAACTTGTCATCATTTAGCGCAAGCGATGCCTTTGGCACCCTGTCATCATTCAGCGCGTTCTAGCCAAAACTGCTGAACAATAAGGAGAGAAAGTTACATGTGGTAATGCCTTCTCAGGAACATCACTCTCCAAAAAGATAAGTGGAATATCCTTGTCCTTTTCTATTTCATTATTCTATTAAAAATGCATATTTAATTGAGATTAACATTGACCAAGTAAAAGCCTTATCTCTGGCCCAGGTGCCACCTATCATCAACTTCAATAAAAGGCACGTGCACTTGAAAAGTGGGGTGGCATTAATATATGGATAATGCTTGGCTTTTGATATATCAGAAGTCATTCCTCATATTCCTCTCAACACAAGATGTTGCCTCTTACAAAATGACACCTGTTTTTTTGTTTCTTTCTTTTTTTTCTTTTCATCGACTCTCTCTCTCTCTCTTCTCACCCACTTGCCTCTCCTCTCCTCTTGTGTTCTCTCTTCTCTCATCTCTCCATATTTTTTCCTACAACTCAGATCTGAAGAAGAGAGAGTGACGCATGAGAAATGGTGATTGGAGAGAGAGCAGGGAATAGGGGAAGGGGAGGTGACAAGGAGGTGGAAGATGGCGGTCGACGTTGATGCCGAGGATGGAAGATGGTAGCGATTAGGAAGAGAAAAGGGCTGAAAATTTCTTCTAAAGAGTCGTTGAGGTCCAACCCAAGGGGTGGAAACCCAAATTATGAGTTTTGAGTCCAAAAATCTTCTCCAACCCAATTTGTAGGGGGGGGGGGGGGGGGGGGGGGGGGGGTTGGAATTTGAGAAATCTCAAATTTGGGTAGAATTCCAGTCCAAGTATTGCCTGGATTGATATTTTATGGGGGCCCAAACTCTGTTTTTTTTTCCTGTCTTGGAAGCCCACGTGAAGACCAAAAATTGCTGGGCCTCACATGACTTTTGCGGTCTACCAGCAACTTGTGCAACACAGCCCGCGTGACATTTGATTCCATTCCAACGGTTATATTTTCAAAAAATATGTTGTGTTTTTTTTATTTTTATAATTCCAACAGCTATATTTGTAATTAACGATCAGGATTAATTTTAGGCAATCTGAACGGTAAAATTTCACAACCAACGGCTCAAATTTAAATCAAACTGTCAAAATAATATTTATAATTAATCTAGATCAGATCCAACTCCAAAACTTATTCCAAACTCTATAAATAGCCATTCATTTGGTAAATAATCCACCAAAAATCATTTTTTTCCTTTCTCCCTTTGTTATATTTTTTCATTCTACTTTTATTCTTGTTGAGAATGGCCCCAAAACCCTAAAGAGGTGTGAATTGGAAACCACAAGAAGATGAGGCATTATGTAAAGGGTGGGTTTCTATCTCTGAAGATGGGGCTATTGGCGCGAATCAATCAAACAACTCATTTTGGTTGCGTGTGTACCAAAATTTTTTGGAAAATGATCCGGGCATGAGCGGAGCCAGGGTACGATCACCGCAACCTATTGCTTCTCGGATCAACATCATCAACCAACAATGTTCTCTATGGAAGGCATGTATGACAAAGGCCAATTCAAGGCATGTGAGTGACTCCAATCTTGAAGATGTGGTGAGTACCCATTTTTATCAATGCTTAAATTTATAATTCTAATTCTTTTCAATTATTAACTTTATTTTTATTTTATTTCATGGGTAGGATATGAATACAAAAGCACTTTTCTTGAGTGATAATAAACCTCCGAATAGGCCTTTCAAGTTGTATCATGCTTGGTAAATCTTAAAAGATTGCTCAAAATGGAACGACCTATGTGAATCTCCCACACAAACATTCAAAGATTCTTCTCATAGTGGCAATACAGTCAATTTGGAGGAAGATGAAGATGATGTGGTCATGCCCACTCCAAAGCCGTTGGGAAGAGATAAATAGAAGGATGAAAAAAAAAGAAAGGGAAAGGTGTTGAAGGTTATCTCAACCAAAATGGAAAGTTCTTGTCTGAATTGGATCAACAAGGAAATGAGGCAAAAAAGGATAGGAGGCGAAAGTTAGAGCTCTTACAAGAGCAACATGCCTATCAAATCCAACAAGATAAGGAGGCCAATGAACAGAGGATAATGTCCATGGACCTATCCAAATTTAATCCAAGAAAGAAGAAGTATTGGGGGAATAAGCAAGACGAATTTATTGAGGCCCAAAATAATATAAGTTCCTTCTACAATCCAGAAGACAACTTTGGAGACTATTATCCAAGCCCTCTACATAGTGGTTATTAATTTATGTTTATTTGTAATTGTTGTTTATGTTTATTTATAATTGTCATTTATCTTTATTTATAATTTTTGTTTATCTTTATTTGTAATTATCGTTTATCTTTATTTGTAATTATTGTTTATCTTTATTTATAATTATCGTTTATCTTTTTTTATGATTGTCGTTTATTTTTCTATGATTATTCTTTTTTTAAAATTTACTGATAAACCACATAATTCGTTAAAATCACACAACCACTTTTATAATTTAAACACACTTTCATAATTTAAACACACAACATAATTTAAACATGCTTACATAATTTAAACACACTTACATAATTTAAACACACAATATAATTTAAACACAAAACATAATTTAAACACACAACATAGCTCATTGCCCCCTCTCTTTCGAATCTCCAAATGTGGTTGATCAAATCATTTATTAGATTGTGATGCACTTGTGAAGTACGAACTCTATTATGACGAACCATTTAGTTTGAGGTAGTTTGTATGTCTTGGTTTATATCGTACGTGGACGTTGGCTCAAGCTCATAAGCAAGTCTTGCTCTTGCTCTTCTAGATGTTCGTGGACAATTATCATCATAATCAGATTCTGCATCTAGATCCTCATACTCATCCTCAATAATCATGTTGTGCAATATTATGCATGTCATCATGATTGAAGGAAGTTGTTCTTTACACCACATAAATGCAGGTCCCCTAACAATTGCCCATTGAGCTTGAAGTAATCCGAAGACTCTGTCGACATCGTTCCTATAAGCCTCTTGTTTTTGGGCAAATAGTCTTTTTTTCGGAGTATCCGGTTGGAAATCGTCTAACCGATGTAGCCCAACCCGTAGATGCCATCAGCCAAGTAATAACACATATTGTATTCATTTCCATTGACAACATATTGAATATGGGGAGGCACTCCATTGACTACATCATTAGACAATGGGGAATGAGCGAAGACGTTGATATTGTTGTTTGATCCGGCAACTCCAAAAAAGGCATATCATATCCAAGTGTCATATGAGGCCACTACCTCTAGAATGACATTTGGCTTATGCTTGTAGCCGATAAACTGGCTTGCCCAAGACTGCCTAATTTTGCGCAGCATCACCATCACTTCAAAGTTTCATATATAGAACAAAACCCCTTTGTCTGTTGAGAGAAGTGCCAAATGTTTTTTGCTGAAAAGTCATCTACCCACATAGGAATTATATGCTTCAGTGCTCAAAGCTTATTGTGGCCCCATCCACATTTACAAAATTAAAAAGAACATGTGGTTTGAGCAAAAAGAGGCTGGGACTTGTCTTTGGCAACAGTGGGCCAACACCCACTAAACTTGTGGTTGCCTACCTTTCAACATTCACCCCACCACTAAACTTATAGTGACTTTTGGTACCTTGCCCTTTAGTAATCCATCATGATGATCAACACCTTGTTCTTCAACAGTTTAAGTCAAGATGCTAGGATCGGCACGTACAAAGAACTGGCTTAAAAACTCTGTACCGAGCCACGTGCAAGTTTCTCCCTTCAAGATCCTTCTTACTTGAGAACATGGGGGGAACTAGAGGTGGTGCACCACACAACTTGGAAGAAGACTAAGATATTGCTAGGTCAATGCACTGAAAATTACAAGTCCCCAAGTAAGAAGTACCTTCTTACTTGAGAAAATGGGGGACTATTGTTTGTACCATATTTGACCAAGCAACTAAAAGCAAATCTAAGTAAGGCAAAGAGTCCCACATTGGAATATTACAAGATGTGTAAACTCCCTCTCACCTATAAAATGAGACCACTCTCCACTTAGAAAAGGATCCTTAGTTTGGGCTTGATCTTTAATCATGGGCTTCTCCCTTCTTCCCTTTATATTTGGGCCCAACCCCTTATACAACTCTAAATACACATAATTATAATAATGATAATATACTTCTCCTTGGACGTAGCCCATTCATTAAGGGTGAACCAGTATATCTTGTCTTTTGTATATTTATCGTTTGTCCAAATCTTCACACACATGTTGAAGACCCTCACCTTCACCCATAATCAATCATACCTCATCTCTAAGTTGGACTCAATCTTGGCCGTCCATTTTTTAGCATCAACATGTAGCATCTTTCATGCAAATTGTTCCTATTCAAACCCTAGAACCATTATCAAATGGGCTCTTCCAGAAGCCAAACAGAGGACTCTTCCAGCTTGAGTGCAAGTAGTCCCTGCTTGTGAAAATATAATAACACAACTTGACATAAATAAATAAGGGCTAACGACAAAAGACCCCTTGAAGGTTTGGAGTCATTCTCAATATAGGGCATGCATTTTCAATTTCATCAATTTACACCATAATGTTTTCAAATTTGATCAATTTAAGCCTTCCTTTAAGTTGACCATTTGGTCAAGCATTAACTGATGACATGTCCACTGTGGGACCCATCTACTAACCAATCTCTAATTTTTTTTTAAAATAAAAAATGATAAAATAATAAAAAATTAAATAAAAAAAAACCCAGCCCCTTCCTTGCAAACAACCCAGTGCTCGCTCCTGTTCCCCACCCCCTCTCGCCGACGCATAGCCATACCATACCTATTTCAACAAGCTCCTCATTTCGTCCGCTTCCTCCTCCTCCTTCATCTTTTTCCCTACTTGTTAGGGTTCTTTCTCAAAGCTCTTAACCCTCTGCACTCTCATCACTCTTATTTCAACGCTTTTCGTCTTCAACTATTTCTCTTTGCTATCTCTGGAGGTTTGTGCTCTGAGGAACAGTCATGCCTGCCCTTGTTAATTACAATGGTATGTTTCTGTGTATTATTTTTACTTTTTGTGCTTTTGTGGGTTAATTTTGGTGGGTTTGGTTTAATGGGAGTTCTTCGTTTTGGTCTAGTTTTAACGAGTTGGTTTTGAGGTGTAATCTTTATATCCAATTCATATGGATCAATATGTCCTCTAGCCTTAATCTTTTGCTCCCTTATTGACTTGAGATTTAGCTTTCAAACTTAAGATGTGGATACTTGTAGCTGATTTTAGTTTTAGTTTTGGGCTTTTCATGTGATGATGATTTCTATTATGCGGGTTCTTTTTACTCAAATCCCATGGATTTGGGTTGCGTGTTGTCAATTTGGCTCCTATGTGTATTACCCTTCTAGCAAGCGGGCTCGCATTAGTTTGCAATTTGTTTTTGAAGGGAGCGATTTTGAGCAAGTCAGGAAGCCTTCAATTAAAGTTCTTCTTGATGAATGTCTCATTGAGATCTTCAGGCACTTGGATGGTGGTAAAGAGAGGAACTCATGTGCATGTGCCTCTAAAAAGTGGCTTATGCTCTTAAGCAGTATCCACAAGGTTGATCTTTGCAAGAGGCAAATTGCAGATAAGGTGATTCAACCCTTGAAGCTTGACAATTTAGATGACACTTAAATGACCACTGGTGAAGGAGACCAAGAACTAGAAAATGATGGTTACCTCACAAGGTGTTTGGAAGGGAAGAAAGCAACAAATATTAGACTTGCTGTTGGGACCAATAGTCATGGGGGAACAGGGGGCCACTGGGTTATTCGGCACGGAAGGGGATTTTTTTATTTTATTTTAAAGTTTTATTTATTTAATATTATTTTATCATTTTATAAATTTTTTAGAGATTGATTAGTAGGTGGGTCCCACAATGGACACGTCATTAGTTAACGTTTGACCAAACAGTCAACTTAACGGAAGACTTAAATTGATCAAATTTGAAAACATTAGGGTGTAAATTGATGAAATTAGAACCTTATAGCCCATATTGAGAATGACCTCAAACCTTGAGGGGGTCTTTTGTCTTTAGCCCAATAAATAAATAAATAAATAAATATCCTAGCTAATCCTATATCGTTTCATACTAGAGTGCTTTATTGGCCGTGTGGGTCTCACCCGCCCACCCAATTTGAAGTCAACCCACAAATCTTATTGTGTTGTACACATTAGTAGAATATAAAACAATAGGTAAAAAGTCACTTTTGCTCCTTGTAGTTTATCACTTTTATCATTTTGGTATATGTTGTTTCAATTTTATCAATTTTATCCTTATAGTTTTCAATTTAAGCAATTCAAGGACAATCCTCAATTTCTGTCAAATTTTTTAAACTTCCATTACATGTGGAAGGGCGATTCCATCAAATTATTAAAAAAAATTAATTCCTTTTAAAAATAAAAAATTTAATAGTAAAAATATATATTCTTCCCTCTCTCTCTCTTCTGCTCCCCCTCCCCTAACATCAAACCACAACCCACCACCCACCACCCACCACCTCACCCAACAAGCCATTGCCTAGCCTCCAATCCATACCACCCTCCCATCACAAAACTTCGCAATAAAACTAGAACATCCCACATCGACCAACGGAGAGGGGGTGATGTGTCTTATATGTACATGCCCACCTTCATTTAGTACGAGGCCTGTTGGGAGCTCACTGGTTTCAGATTCCATGGGAACTCCGAAGTTAAGCGACTTTGAGCTAGAGCAATCTCATGATGGGTGACCCTCTGGGAAGTTTCTTGTGAGTTCTCAGAAACAAAACCATGAGGGCAGGGGCCCAAAGTTGACAATATCGTGCTACGGCGGAGCCGATCCGGGATGTGACAAAAACCCACCTCTCTCTCTCTCTCTTCTCCCAAATCCAGCCCTTGGTGGGATGCGAATGAAAGTTGCTTCACAGCCATTTCCCTTCCATCATAAAGTGTATTGTGTACCCTATATACAGAAATACAATTCAGTGACATGAAAGGGAATAAAAAGAGAAACTATCTTTGCTTCTCTCTCTCAACTTCTTTTTGTAAGAAATCAAAGTCATTACTTTAAAGCAGCAGATAATGATGTAAAATGGATTTCACCTTATAAACTGGTCCATATCCTCCCTCTCCTAGCTTATTTGAAGGATTAAAATCTTTTATTGCAGCTCTCAACTCAGCATAACTGAAAGTATTTGGTCACAAAAAAAAAAAAAAAAAAAAAAAAAAAAAAAAAAATATTTGGTCAGGGAGAGAGAGGAAGAGATGGGGAGAAAGAGAGAGAGAGGGTTTGCAGAGGGGGGACACGAGACTGTTGGGGTAGGGGAGGTTGCGGGTTGGGTTAGGATGGGGGTGGGGGAGGATGATAATATGGGTTTCTTTTTTATTAATTTTTTTGTTAGTTTATTCTTTCTTTTTTTTTGGTATTGGTTACTTTTTTTATGGACCGAAATGCCCCTCAACAACTAACGACAGTTACTCTTTTTTGACAGAAATTGAGGATTTTCCTTGAATTGTTTAAATTGAAAACTACAGGGACAAATTAGATCAAATTGAAACGACAAGATCTAAAATGATAAAAGTGAAACTATAGGGACCAAAAATGAGTTTTTACCAAAACAATAATATAGTATGTAGTGTTATGGCTATGAATATCCAAGAGGGTTTGGGAGAGAGGTTTTGGTTTTTCCTTCCTTCTTAAATATCCAACTTGAAACCCTTAAGGAGGTATGATGATATGGCTAAGAATATATAGAGACATTTTGTCACAAATGTGTTCCAAAATGCCCCCTTTGTGCCGCACCCTCCCTATCCTTGGCCTTTTTGGGCTATATTGGTCCAACACATTAATCCCTTAATGTGTCATACTATGCCTAAGTCCATAAGGTCTATTTCTATAAATATTTAAGTCACATAGGACCAAAACTAAAGTTCCATAACTTTAACTAATCATTAAACTAATTTAATTAGTTTAATTGATTTAATGACTTAATAAATTAAATAACTATCTTGTCTAACAAGTGTTGGTCCTAGTCAACCTTATGTTGACCGTGTCAAGCCTTTAGTCAATGTTTTGACCTTTGACTTTGACTTTTGACCTTGACTTTGACTTTGACTTTGACCGAGCCACAAAATCATTTATTCTCTTTTCAATTCTCAATCCATACCTTTTTGATGTGCAATCATATAGGTTCTAATTAGCAAGGTCTTCTACTTCTAAACTGAATGTGAATTGTATATCTTTATACAATTCTCCCTATTGGCGATGGCTAATTGTTATTAATCCTCATAAGGCTTCCACAAACCATGAGTGACACCTAGCAGTATGTCATAGCTACCCAAGCTAAATAGAATTCATTTTGAGAACCTAGTTAGTTTGTGATTACAATGCAATTTGATCATTCTCTATTACAATACCCTTGGTTGTGTATCTTGGAATGTGGTTAACTTGTGTCAATTCCCTAACATGACATCTTTAGATTGTATGATTCACTTGGATGTAATTGCAAACATTCTTGTCTCAATTCTCATCCTGTACTTTGGCCAAAGATTCAATGAATCATATCTTTATAGTATTCTATCTTCTTACTTAGAGTAGAGATTCCTTGTTGTACATTCACTTACCTCTGTGCATATGCTAAGTGTCTTGAGGAACACCTTTAAGTCACATCCTCTTGACACGACTGTATAGTGTTCTAAAAAACAAACAGCTCATACACAAGACAACTATGGTGTCTCAGGTCTAAGGACTAATTTGCATTATTATAACTTAGAATTCCTTGTTTCACAATTGTGAGTAAGACTTCCATACAATAATTCTTCAGTTAATCGTATTCGGTGAACTCCATCTCTATAGAGCACATACACACTTGTATCAGTGTCTCTACACGAATGACTTGAGACTAGTCATCCTCATGATTGAGTAGACATAGCATGTACCAGTCTTCATGACTCACCTTTGTCCAATTGGTGATCCTATTACCAGGAACCTTGATGAAGAGGCCTCGTGAATCTAACTTATTTAGACTGCTTTTCATTCAACCAATTGGTGATCCAACCAAGTTGTTTTGGTCGTCTACTTTTTGAGTAAGCTGGTCGACTCTATGACTGAGGTTTACTTGACTGTTTGAATATGGATGAGAGAATTGTGTAGGGCCTAATTGCACGCGGGTTAGGGTTTCGTTGGAGGTGTATGCTCACATACGCCAAGTGTGGTGTCAAAGGAAGGAATTGACGTATCTATTCCAAAATCGGGCTGTGGTCAGCTGCGGCACCAAGATGGTAGGTTTCGTCGTGAGTAGCCGTGGCATCATGGTGGTAGATCTCACATCCAGCTGCCAAGCCTTGGATGGTGGCTGCCGGAATCGGCAGCTGGTCCTTGCAGCTGCACTGTGATGCTGGCCACTGGACCAAGAGATGGGACGATTGTTTCAGTCGTGAAGACTTGCGTCAACAAGGTGGAGCTGGCTACAGGACTGCAAAGTGATACTGCTGCATGCATAGAAACTGGGCTCTCAGCCACAAAGTCGAGAGGTGGAGCCGTTGTAGCCTCGGTCTTAGTAGCGGAACGTGACAGCTGGCTCGTTGCTGCTCCATCATGATGGCTTGGATCCATCGTGGATTGAGTCGTCGTGACAGTCTTGCTTCATGTGCTCTTACTTCCAACCATGATTGTTTGGAAGGCTTCGGTTGAGTGATAAATGGGAGGAAATGGATTCCTTTGATTCAAGAGTATCGCTTTGAGTATATTTCATGCTCTTAATGGAAGCACCAAAATGTTTGAGCAAAATTCTCACGGGAGAATATTTGAAAGAGATTTTCGCCCTTTGAGCTACTTCTCTATTTTCTTTCTCAATCCTTGCAAAAAAGACTAGAGTAAATAAACCACACTTGGGGGGTGTTGGCCAGGGGCCCTTCGATGTGTAAGTTAGTTAAATAATCTTGAGAAAGATGCGGAGATAACAAAAAGATCAGAGTTTTCTCTACGGAACAAAAGAACTGGATGGCCGGAGCCTTTTGTGGTGGCGTTTAGCCTTGTGAGGAGAAGGAGAGAGATACGACAAGGGAGAGAGACAGAGAGTGATTTCTCTAGGGTTTCAGAATTACCTCATGTGTGTTATGTAGCCATGTATTTATAGACTCCTTACTTGGCCAGGGTTTGAAGAATAATCTTTATTTAATCAAGATTATTCTTGCCCAAAAAGATGATATGAATTAATCAAAGAGATTTGTTGGAAATTAGTTCCTTGATTTAGAGAGATATTCATATCTTAAATCAAAGATAATTTGGGTAATTATTTGACCTAAGGAAATCACTTTTCCATGTGTCACCTTCTTATTGGCCGCCGAAATATGTGTTCCCACATATTGGTTGATAAAGCGAGCAACATGTTTCATGAAATTTATCATATAAACTGGAGTATTCAGGGGGCTCAAAATTCTGTATCAAGTTGGTCTCCCCCATGGAATATATATATATATATATATACACACACACATATATATAGTATAAAATCCAGAATTAAAATCTGAATATTTAAAAAAATTAAAAAAAGTCATTGGCTAGGAAGAGACAAGTCAACATATTCCCCCGAAGATAAGTCTGAGCACTACCTTTTTAAAAATTCAACAAAAAGAAAGAAGTAACTTTACAGGATTTACAAATGAAAGTTAAATTAGTCAAAAAGGAAATAATAGAGTAAGAACAAATGAGTCACAAGTTACAAAATAAAAATTTCAAAATTAAACAATATTTAATTAATTTAATGGAAAAAAGGATTTCTGATACTAAGAGTTAATCTGAAAGTCCAATAAATTCTGATGTTGAACCATTAAACAATGATAAAGCCATTAATTTAATGAAACAAATAAATTTTAGAAAATGGTATTATAAAGTCACCATATTTGTAAAAAAATTTGAGTTAAACATAATAGCTCTTTTTGATTCAGGAGCATACCTTAATTGCATACGAGAAGGATTAATTCCTACCAAATATTATAAAAAGTCAAAAGAGGCATTAAGCATTGCCTCTAGTAAAACACTCTAGTTAGACCACGAGATTCCAAAAGCTCATGTCTGCCAAAATAAGATCTGCTTTAAAACCTCATTCGTTTTAGTTTAAAACATTACTGACGAAGTCATCCTAGGTCTACCTTTCATAGCCCTCTTGTACCTTTTCCAAGTAGAATACGATGGAGTCATATCTATCCATATGGGAGAAAAAGTCAAGTTTGAATTCCTCACCAAACCCGAGTTACATAATTTAAAAGCTTTGCAGAAAAGTGCAGTTTCAAAAACAGTCAAAATAATTCAAAACAAAAATAAACAACTAGATTTCCTTAAAGAAGAAGTCAAATTCAGGAGAATAAAACAACAACTTACTGATAAGCTTTTACAGTCACAAATTCAAAAATTTGAAGAAAAGCTAAAACAAGAAGTCTGTTCTGACTTACCCAATGCCTTTTGGTATAGGAAACAACATGTAGTTAGTCTACCCTATGTAAAAGACTTTAATGAAAAAAATATCCCTACTAAGGCTAGACCAATTCAAATGAGTCAAGAAATTATGGAATTCTGTAAAAAAGAAATCATTGAATTACTTCAAAAAGGTATAATTCGTAAGAGCAAGTCACCTTGGTCCTTCCCAGCTTTCTATGTCCAGAGAAATGTTGAATTAGAAAGAGGAGCCCCAAGATTAGTCATCAATTATAAACCCTTAATACGGTTCTAGAATGGATTAGATATCCAATCCCCAATAAGAGAGACTTAATCAATAGATTAGACGAAGCAGTCATCTTCTCTAAGTGTGATATGAAAAGTGGGTTTTGGCAAATTCAAATCCAAGAGTCAGATAGGTATAAAACCGCTTTTGTAACCCCATTCGGTCACTATGAGTGGAATGTCATGCTTTTTTGTCTAAAAAATGCGCCTAGTGAATTCTAGAATATAATGAATGAAATTTTCAACCCTTTCAGTAATTTCTCCATAGTCTATGTATAGATGATGTTCTTATTTTCTCTCAGTCAATAAAACAACATTAGAAACATCTGCATAAATTCCTCCAAATAGTCAAACAAAATGGTTTAGTTGTCTCTGCAAAGAAAATCAAGTTATTTCAAACCAACATTCGATTCCTTGGTTTTAACATTCACCAGTCACAAATAAGCCCAATTGATCAAGTCATTCAGTTTGCTGATAAATTTCCAGATCAAATTATTGATAAGAGTAAACTCCAAAGGTTTTTAGGTTCTCTTAATTATGTCTCTGATTTCTATCAGAATTTGCGAAAACAGTGTGTTGATGCTCTTTTCGGAGAGGGTCAACTTAGAGAGAAGCGGATTGCCTTCAGTAGGGGAGAAGGTGAGGACCCTCTGTAAAGGTTGAGCCTGCAGAAGACAAAGTAGGAGAAGCAGTCGTTAAGCTTCAGACACCGTTGTGGTGCCGGCCGAAGGCTCTCCGATGCTTAAGTAAGCTAAGAGTAGTAACTTTAGTAGAGTAACAGTAAAATGTAAGAAAGTAGTTACCCTTTTACTAGGGTACTGTTCCCTATTTATAGGGAAGTGAAAGTGGGAGGTTTGTGTAGAATTTCGATGTGGGACTTTGTGCAAGTCGCTGTGGTGGTGACATGTGTCTTGGATATTAGGTTTGGCAGTTTGAGAGCTTCGGCAATCGGGAGCTTCGGTAGGTGTCTGGCACCTTGGAAGAGTGTCTTACTTCGGCAGGGGAGGAGGCGTGTCTGCCTTGGTGCTAGTTGTTTTGAGGCTGGATATGCTCGGTTGATTATGGTGTAAATAGTAGTCCCCCAAGTTCACGGTCAAGAAGTAACTTTTGGGTTGGGAACTTGTTAGATTTTTCTGTAATCATGATCGAGCATTCCAGGCTCAATGGGAGCCGTAAGGCATTCCCTAATCCCCCAAGTTGGAAAACTAGAAGTTGCGTTAACATTTGAGAGGTATGTAAGCCTCTGAAACTGTCGGTAGCAGGGTACCTTGCGGTTATTTGGGCTTTTGGCGAGGTCTTGGAGACGGGCCTTTGGGTTTTGGGAACCAGGCTTCTGCAAAAAAAGAATTGGGTGAGCCATTTCTTGCCTCAGTAGACCTTGCCGTTCAGCATTTTTTTGTTTTGTTTTGGTTATCTGATATAACCTATGGTGGTCCCAGCTCAATGTCTGCCGTTTGGCAGGCAGTCTAGGGAGGCCTTGGTCTTTGGCTTTTGGGTCTAAGGATGAAGCTTTTTGCCTTAGAGTTGGGCCATTTGAGATTTGGGAATGAGTAATTTCTGGCTTAATCTCTTGGGCTTGGGGTATTGCCAATTTGGAGCTAGGGTTTTTTGAAATAGAAGCGCAGTTTGTGCTTTAAGTAAGACCTGCCGTTCAGCGAGGGTCTAAGCAGAAAGAAATGAGAGGGGTGTCTTTGGTAGGGATCTAGGTATTTGGTCCTCGTAGAGAGTTGGAGCTGGGAGCTAGCTTCTGTAGCCAAACCCTTTTGTGATTTTTAGAAGTCTTGGAGTGTCATCCCAAAGCTACGGATCAATGTGTTCATTCTTGGATCGGGAGTTGCTCCACGCCTACCGTTCGGCAAGGTGGCTCGGTAGGAGAATTGACATGGCTGGAAGGTTGCTTTAGCAGCTCGTGGTGGCTTGGGCAAGGTTCTGTGAGTTGGGCCTTCAATTTTTCTTGAGTTTGGGTTCATCTGGTCACAGCTTTGGCAAAGCTGGGAATTGGAGTTGGAATTGCTAGTTTCCGTGAGCTGGGTCCTTGCCGTTTGGGACGAGTTGGAGCTGGGTCCTTGGTGTGAGCTCCGTGTTGCGGTGGTCCTTTTTCCAAGTTCAGCCAGGGGGTGCCGATCGGCAAGTCCTCCACAAGTTCTTGGTGAGGGGCTGATTCGAGGCTTCCTTTCCCTTTGCTCAACAACAAGGGTGGTTTGGGGATGTTTATTTTGTTGTGTGTTGAGTTGTGCTTGATTTCTGTTTAACAGGTTCTGGAAGGAGGAGACATTCGAGGTCTTAGCCATTTTTTAGCCAAGCTGCCGATCGGCAGGGGCTGATTGAAAGTTTTGGAGCTTGCGGTGGCTTTGGCGAGTGGAGTTTTGAGAGCATCTCCAGAGTTGGGCCATTTGAATTGTGGTGAGTTTTCGATTTTGGAGGCCATACTTGTTTCTAGTCAACCCTTGCCATTTGGCAAGGGTGTGTTGAGAGGTTTTGGTGGTTTGTGCAAATCTCTACAGCTTCGGTAGCTTGAGGAGCTGGCCATTTGAGATTTGGTAAGCATGAGACTTGAAAACTTTGTTGTGAGTAATTTCTGGAGCCTTCAAGCGGTCAGCAAGGTGTGGGCAAGGTGTGGGCATACTTTTGGTACCCGCTCGCTGTGACCCGAACCCAAGCTCTGGTCTCTACGTTTTTGGTGTTAGAGAGTTTGGGGTTGAGGAATTTCGATTTGTGGAGAAAGGGTTCCGGCTGCGGCAAGATCCTTGTTCGGCAGGTAACTTGGAACATGCCTCTCAATTTCTGAATAGGGCCTGGGCTTTCGGGTCGTGGTGTGAGCTGGGCTTTGGCCTAGGAGGCTTTGGAGCTGGCCCTTTGTCATACCTTGGAGTCGGGCCTGTTTTGGAGCTGGGCCTGACGAGTTAGCCATTTTGGTGAGCCACCTTTTTGCTTCTCCACGGGGCCTGCCGTTCGACAGGGCCCTTTGGGCATGGAAAAAAATTATACATTGTTGTTTTGAAAAAAATAGTAAAATGCCTACTAATCTTCTACAGGTCTTGGCGTGATTTTGGTGCACAGGTTAGGTTCAGCCTTGTGCGCAAAGGCTGGGCCTTGGGGATTCGGCAAAGTGGTGCCTTTAGACAAGAGCCTGGTCCTTGGGTGATTTGAACGCGCGAGCTTGTAGCTGGGTCATTGACAATCGGTAGTTGGCTTCACAAATTGGCAACTTGGTGTGGTTTTTGTTGTTTTACGGTTTTGAAGGAGCTGGGCCTTTTGTTGAGGTAACTAATTTGTGAGGCCTCTATTTCTTTGTGCATGGGCCTTGCCGTTCGGCAAGGCCAGCTTTTTTCTTTATTGTTTATTTGCTGCCCATTGTGTCTTGTGAGGCCCCCTTTTTGTTTGCATGGCCTTTTTTGTTTGTTGTCTTGGCAAGGCCTCTCTAGTGTTGATTCTGGGGTGGGCCTCTAGAGCTAAGGCACAGACTAAGAGCTAGGGCACGGTAGTTGGAGCTAGGGCTTAGGAAGTAGAGTATAGCAAGCTTAGAATCTTGATTACCCTCCTTTGTACTTGTGCACGGGCCGTTGCCGTTCAGGTCCACCCAGGTCCCAATTTTCCTCCGGTTTCTTTTTTTTTTTTTTTTTTTTTTTTTTTTTTTTTTTTTTTTTTGAAATTTGAAATTTCATATTGTTGCAGGTACAAGGGATTTGGGAGGGAAGGTGAAGGGGTGCTAGGGTTTCTTGTGTACCCTGGGACTTTATAAATAGGAACTTGGAGTGACGAATGCATCACACTTGAATTTCTGAGAAAAATTTATGGAAAGTGAGAAGGAGAAAAGAGAGTTCCAGCGAAATACCTCTTGGTGGTGTTGTGGCCAAGGTGATTTCCAGCGTCTCATTCGTGATGGTGCAAACAAGGTTAGACCTCATTTCCCTTGAATTTTTGAATTGAAATCTCCTTTTTGTATGAACATGTTGAAGACTAGGATGAACACCTTGAATATGAGTATGAACATGATGAACATGATGAACATGATGAACATGATGAACATCTTGAGCATTGGTATGAATCTGTTGAATGTATGCTTCTAGGTCAAAAAGCATGTAGGTGTGCCCTCTTTTTTTGTATTCTTGTGTTTTTGATCCCCCTGCCTTTGGCGGGGATGATACTAAAAGTGAAGAGACCAATGAATATGTTTGTTCTGAAGATGAGAGTTCCTAGACAGAGGGTTTGGTAGAAGGTCTTGTAGAAGCTAGGATGGTAGTTCATGAGGGTGAGATGAGTGAGCCACCAGTAAACTCTGGGTCAGAGGCATATAAGGAGATGCAGATGAATTATAAAGTGTTAGAGGCCATAGCTGATCGGGTTCTAACTATGCCTCGTTCACCAGAGGTGGGCTCGAGCAACTAGGCATCACCATCAGGGTCTGTGGGTGTAGCCATGGCTTTGGCTTTAGAAGGAGTGGACATATGGGTTGGTGTCCCTTTGGCGAGGCGAAATATACTGATATAGGTAAAGTTGGTCGAGCTTCGAATAAATTATTGTGTTCCACCCTACGTGGGTTTGAGGTTACCCACTGCATATGATGTGGTTAGATACCCTCCAGAGGGCTCGGTGATGATTTTCACGGATATGTATCAACATAGCTTCAGACTACCGTTTCATCCTTGGGCGCAGATGATGTTAGCCAAGCTGAGGTATGCGTCGGGGCAATATAATCCCAACTTCTGGCTGCTTCTGCATGGGGTGTACATTGCTTGGTGGTTGGCTGGGTTGGGAGAGCCAACATTTGAGCAGTTCATGTACTTGTACTCAATTTCAAAGCAACAGGGGACCTTTGGCTGGGTACAAGCTAATTGCCGAAAGGCAAAAGAGAGAGGTTATTTTATTGGTCATAAGCCTTCTACTCAGAAGTCTTGAAGGAACAGGTGGTGTCTGGCTTATGGTAATTGGGAGTGTTCGTCGGAGAAGATCGTCTCCAAACACATTTCTACCCACTTCCAGTCTATAGGTCCATGGCCCCATCTTTTAAGACTGGTTATTGTTTTGTAGTGTGTATACCTGCTTTGATTCTTGGTTCTCCATTTTTTGCTTGTGCACGTGTAAATGGCTGAGTAGTATCTAACCTTTGGTGCAGGTTCAATGAAGTGGGGGTCGATCTCCGAGGTGCAATAAAAGGAAGTTGAGAGGGTGAGATCATTGCTGTCAGAGACCGAGCGTGAGTGCAATAACCTAGTCACCCAGAAGAATCTATTTGAGTCTGGCCTTTTGCAAGGAAGTAAGTACTTAGATCCCCTTTGTTGTTTGTCTTCTGATTCCTTTTTGTAATTGTGACTAACTTAGCTTTTGATGTGCAGTTGCAGGTATTATAAAGGGAAGCACGAAGGTGGCTGTGGATTACACTGACGCTGAGATGCAGCAGCGAGTGAGGGAGTCTCGGGCCAAGAAGGCGGAGAAGGGTGGTGCCCAGCGGGTGACTGGGAAGCGCCCTAGAGATGGTTGAGTTAAGGCTCAAGACCAAAGTCTAAGAAAACATAATGTCCCAAGGTCTAAGTATGTTTACTTATAGTAGTACTTGAGGTGATCAGCATTCCAAGGATGAGGCAAGGTCCTGCCCTTAGGATCACGAAGCTGATAAGTGTCGGGGCGGCAGACTTTGGTAATCTCATATGGACCTTCCCATGTGGGGCCCAAGGTACCTTCAATATGGTTCTTGGTAGCCAAGGAAACTTTACGCATGACCCAGTCCCCAATCTTGAAAGCACGGGGTTTGACTCGGGAGTCATAGTACTTAGCGATGCGCTGTTTGTACGCGACGTTGAGCATGTTGGATTGGTCACAAAGCTCATCAATGAAGTCGAGGTTCAGGGCTAACTGCTCGTCATTGTCTTCGGCCTCATAAGTGGAGGTTCGGTATGTCGGTTGGCTAATCTCCACTGGTGCCACGACTTCAATACCGAAGAAAAGAGAGAACGGTGTTTCTCTTGTTGAGGTACGAAAGGTGGTGCGGTAGGACCAGAGAACCCCTGGGAGTAGCTCTGGCCAGTAACCCTTAGCTTTGTCAAGCTTGGTCTTTAGAGTTTTCTTCATGATCTTGTTCACGGCTTCAACCTGGTCATTGGACTGAGGATGGGCTGGGAAGGCGAAGCAAAGACATATCTTGAGATTGGAACAAAATTGTTTGAACTTTGCATTGTCAAATTGCCGGCCATTGTCTGTGATGATGGTGTTGGGGATGCCGAAGCGACATACGATATTTTGCCAAACAAAAGTTTCAATGCGGGCTGCAGTGATGGTGTAAGCCCTTATTTGATAAACTCCAGAGTAATTCCCCTCCTTGGACTTCTACTCATACAGAAATTGTCAAACAAATTAAAATTCATGTCCAAACCCTACCTTGTCTTGGTATTCCTTCAGCCAATTTCTTCAAAATCGTTGAGACTAACGCCTCCAAAATTGGTTATGGAGGAATCCTAAAACAAAGAGTCAATCCACACCAAACAGAGCAAATTGTTCAATTTCATTCTGGAATTTGGACATAGTCACAACGTAATTATAGTACTATTGAATTGTGCATTATAAAATTCCAAGATGATTTACTAAATCAAAATTTTTTAGTCAGAGTTGATTGTAAAAGTGTAAAGCATGTTTTAGAAAACGATGTTCAAAACATTGCATCAAAACAGATTTTTGCACTTTGGCAAGCTATTTTAAGTATTTTTGATTTTGATATTGAATATCTGAGAGGAAGTGAGAACTCCATTCTAGATTTTCTTACTAGAGAATTTCTTCAAGATAATCAATGGCAGACAAGCAAGCAAAACAACAAGGCAAACAACCACAACCAGTCAGACAGCTTTCACCATCAATGAACCCAGTCAAAACATAAATGCCTTCTCAAGTCATCCCTTATGCAGGTCATTCACCCATCCAAGTATCAAACAGATATGCCACCCTAGGATCTACAGTCAGCAACATACGCCCTAATTACCAGTCAGCTCTCATATGCAGCTATGATCCATTCCAAGTCATAACCCCTTCTCCTACTTCTTCCCCAATTAGTCACACTAAATCATCTCCTTACTTCTCCATAAATAGTCAAACCCTATTTCTTATTGAGCCATGTTTTAATCATCTAACCAACCTAGTCAAAATTGCCAAAGCCTATTTTCCTCCTAATTTCCATTATATTCCATCACACCCTTCCAAGTCACTTAAGTATTATCGTGATATTCTTCTTGAAACGAAATCACTAGAAATCCAGCCAATCAAGGATAGAAATGACCCAAACATCATTCTCTATCATTCTATGTATATAAAAAACATTCTCAGTCAATCTGAATGGGGCGACCACCCCTACTCTTTCAAGACACTTAATTCTAGTCTCCAATGTAGTTACTATGATTACATTGAAGCCTGGCACATTATTTTCCTTCACCAAACTGATGATTTTAGTCATTCATGGTTTGTCAATTTCGATAGTAAATTCAAGAGCCCTTTTCCCTACTGGTTTTCTTCCTGGTGGGAAAAACATGGTCCAACTATTGTTATTCTTCCTCCCAATCTCAAAGAATCAGTGAAGTACTTTTCCAGTAAATACAAGTTTATACAAGAGAGTCAATTTTTACCAAAATCATTAATTTTCATTGCCAAATATAAAGTTCCATGGATCCTCAAATGGTCCTACCAAGTCAACTGGGAATCATGTATTAGACAATTCTCCATCAAATGGTGGGATAAGTTCAAGACAAAAAGAATTATTGAACAGGTCAACACCGAGTTTCCCAAGTCAATACTCCCCAGAGGATATATATATATATATATAGTCCCCTTTTTATTGAGAGATCCCTTTGAGGGACACCCATTGGGGTACCCTACAATTTTGTTTTCAATGATCCAAATCATCTATTTTTTAGGCCTTCACTCATAGGTCATCCTTGCAAAAATTAGAAAATCGGAAACCGTTTAGACATCTAATTGTGTCCTACAAAATCAATGAACGCGGTGCTTCAAAAAAGTACTAAAATTTCAATAATTTAATTGAGTGGTCAAATGATATCAGATTCAAGTGATTTTTTATAGAGATGATCTTTGAATGAATATCTACAAAATAGATGATTTGGATGAGTGAAATACAATGCGGAGTACGCCCTACGAGCAGTGACGAAGCTAGAATTTCATGTGTGTTGGGTCCTCTCACAAAATTTAAAAAATAAAAAATTTGAACTCACAAGACACACAAAAACATCAAAAATCATATTGTGTATTCATTACAATCATAATTGTCCTCGACGAGTTTTCATATTTTGAAATCGTTGCATAACAACCTCCTCATCTATATTATTAAAAATGTCTCTCTTAATGTACGCAACGAAGCAATCATTCATCCATAAATTGAAAGACCTATTAAAATCTATTAAAAGAAGTAAAAAAAAATCAAAATTTCACGAAAAAAAAATCATAAATAAAGACAAAAAGACAAAAAGAAAAAAGAGAACTACTGACAAAAACTTTAATTAAATAAATTAACTAATTAAAACTTGATAGTTTAATATGGAGTTTGAGAGAAAAACTCACAGGTAGTGCATTGAGAAAGTCTGCTTTGCTGCTTGTGCGTTCTCCAAGAAAGGAGAAAAATGGGTTAGGATTTTATCCATTTTTGTAAAAGGGTAAATATATATAATAATAAGAGCTATAAACCTTTGGGAAAAGGAAAGGAAAGTTATGGTGGCAATGGCCCTTCCTCTCTGCACATCCACGTCTCCAAAACATGCATAAATATCGCCTTTCTACTACTCGAATTGAAAATGTCGTTGGATGCAGGCTTTTCTACTATTTTGGTAGAATCAGATGCTCAAGCTGTTATTCATCAGTTGACAAAAGAAGAGGAGGACTAGGCTTCTGATGGTAATCTTGTTGATAAGTTAAGGGGTGTCTTAATCAATTTCAAAAGATGATTGATATTGTTTATATCCCTAGATGTTGTAAATTGTAATCTAATAGCTCATAAATTAGCCAATAATGCTTTCAAACGTCAGGATGTTGTTTTTTGGGATGAAGAAGTTCCCTGTCGTCTGCTTGTTAAAATATAATAACACAACTTGACATAAAAAAATAAAAAAAAAATAAAAAAAAATCCTGTATCTAGCAACTTCTCCAGCTAATAATCCTAGCTAGTATTATTTTGTTTTCAGACTAGAGTACTTTTGGGTCCAATCTTAGTATTATATTGTGTTCTACGCGTATTAGTAGATATGAAAATATAATAACACAAATTGAAATAAACAAATGCAAAAACAATAATGTAGTACGTAGTGTTTCTTTGTTTTCATCCTTCCCTGTGTTTCCAATATCAAAAAGCTTTTCATAATTCCACACCTGTGTTTCTTTGTTTGCATACGTTGGAATATTACTTCATTCAAACCCCTTGCAGAGAAGAGAAAAATGGCTGGAGCTTTGATCGGAGAGGCCTTTATCTCTGCTTCCATCCAGGTGTTCTGTGACAGACTTACTTCACGGGAGTTCATTGACTTATTTCGGCAGAAGAAACTGGATCAACCTCTCCTCATGAAACTGAAGGTGACACTGTTGACCTTGAACGCAGTGCTCAATGATGCAGAGGAGAAGCAAATAGAGAACCCGGCTGTGAGAGAGTGGCTTGACGAGCTCAAGCATGCTGTCTTTGATGCAGAGGACTTACTGGATGAGATCAACTATGAAGATTTGCGATGCAAGCGCGAAGGTGAAGGTCAAATCGACAATTTAACCATTAAGGTGTGGAACTTCCTCTCTTCTTCTCATAATCATTTTTATCAGAGCATGAATGTTAAGATACAAGAGTTGTTACAAAGATTCGAAGACTTTGTACAACTGAAAAGTACTCTTGGTCTGAGAGAAGATGTTGGGAGGAAGGTTTCACAAAAAACTCCAACAACTTCCTTGGTTCATGAACCTTGTGTTTATGGTAGAGATGAAGTCAAAGAAAATTTATCAAAATTGTTGTTATCTGATGACGCAAGTAAGGATGATGTGTCTGTGATTACCATTGTTGGAATGGGTGGGGTTGGCAAGACAACCCTTGCTCGAATGCTTTACAATGACCATAAGGTGGAAGAATATTTTACACTTAAAGCTTGGGCTTGTGTTTCAGAAGACTATGATGCTATTAGGGTAACTAAAACTCTTCTTGAGTCAGTCACCTTAAAGCCTTGTAAAATGACAGATCTGAATTTGCTTCAAATTCAACTAAGAGAACAACTTAAGGGAAGAAAATTTTTATTTGTGTTGGATGACATTTGGAATGAGAAATATACTGATTGGAAGTGCCTCCAAACTCCTTTTACTTCAGGGACAAGGGGAAGTAAACTCATTGTAACAACACGTAACAAAAATGTAGCATCTGTCATGCAAAATGTTCCTATTCAATACTTGGAACCATTGTCGAATGAAGACTGTTGGTTGTTACTTGCAAAACATGCATTTGGAAATGAAATCTCTAGTGCAGATCCAAGCTTGGAAGAAATTGGCAGGCAAATTGCACGCAAGTGCAATGGGTTGCCTTTAGCTGCACAAACACTTGGCGGTGTGTTACGTTGCAAGATAGAGTCTGAGGTATGGAATAGAGTATTGAACAACAACATTTGGGAGTTACCTTACGAGAAAAGTGATATTCTTCCAGCTCTAGGATTGAGTTACCATTATCTTCCAACTAAGTTAAAACGATGCTTTGTTTATTGTTCAATTTTTCCAAAGGACTATAGTTTCAAGATAGAAGATGTAGTTTTTCTCTGGATGGGAGAAGGTTTAATTCCTCAAGCTGAGAATGGCGAAAGAATGGAAGAGGTGGCTAAGGAATATTTTGATGAACTATTATCCCGATCACTATTTCAAAAGTCATGGAAATCAAGTTTCACCATGCATGATCTCATCAATGACTTGGCTGTGTTCATGTCTAAGGGAGTTTCTTACAGGTTGGAAGGGAGGGAATCACATGAATTAGAAAGAGTTCGCTATTTGTCATATGTTAGGGGAGAATTTGATATCGCTCTTAAATTTGAGCAAATAAATGGGGCTAAGTGTTTGCGGACCTTCCTACCTACCTCTTTAAACCCTTATCGATTTTATAATCCGTATTATGTAAGGAAAAAAGTTCTACAAGATTTGGTGCCATCACTCAAATGCTTACGAGTATTATCATTGTCACAATATCAAAATGTCACTGAGTTACCTGATACTATTGAAAATCTCATTCACTTGCACTATTTGGATCTTTCCCATACTGCAATTCGAAGGTTACCTGGTGTACTTTGCAATCTCTACAATTTACAGACATTACTATTGTCAGATTGTTCATTTCTCGTTGAATTGCCCGCAGACATGAGAAAATTGATAAACTTACAGAAATTAATGTTGGCAGGTTGCAAGTCTCTCACTAAATTGCCCGTAGACATGAGGGAATTGAGTAATTTACATCATCTTGATGTCAATGGAACTAAAATTGCAGAGATGCCAGTGGAAATGGGCAGACTAAAAAGTTTGAGAACATTGACTGCTTTTGTTGTGGGCAAATCTAATGGGTCAGGCATCGGAGAATTGAGGGAGTTGAAGCATCTTGGAGGAAAACTTTCAATTCTGAAGCTGCAAAATGTAGTTGATGCTAGGGATGCCATGCAAGCCAATTTGAAGCATAAGAAAGATCTCAAGGATTTAGAGTTGGCATGGGGTGCAGAGGACGTAGATGATTCTCAGAAGGAGAAAGATGTACTTGACAAGCTCCAGCCTTGCGTGAATTTGGAGCAACTAACCATCAAATTCTATGGTGGAACCAACTTCCCGAATTGGTTAGGGGACTCGTCCTTCTCGAACATACAAGTCATGCATCTCAGTGATTGCAGTTATTGTTGGTCGATGCCACCAGTTGGGGAGTTGCCCGCTCTTAAAGAGCTCTGTATAAAAAGGATGAAATTTGTTGAGAGGATTGGTGTTGAGTTCTATGGAAGAAATGGGGCTTCTCTTATTCAGCCATTTCAATCACTGGAGAAGCTGGAGTTTGAGGAGATGCCAGATTGGGAGGAATGGATTCCAAGTGGAAGTGGAGATCAATATCGTCCAGACTTTCCTTGTCTTATGGAGCTGATTCTAAAAAAGTGTCCGAAGCTGAGAGGAAACTTGCCTTGTCATATGCCTTACTTGGAGAAGCTTAGCGTGTCTGGATGTGGGGTTTTACATGATCAAAGGGCCACTACTACTACCATTAGTAGCCTTAACATGTACTCCTACAAATCTCTAGAAGAATTGAAAATAGAAGATGGATGCCAAGCAAGTCTATTATTAGTTATAGAGAGACAAGGTTCCTGTCCGAACTTGACATTCGAAATTTTGTTGACATACAATGCTTGCCCAACATCAATCGTCTTCAATATTTGGCTCTTCATGATTGTCCAACCCTGTCGTCGTTCCCAAAAGATGGCCTGCCCACTACGCTGACAGCACTTCATATATACGGTTGTAGGAGATTAGAATTCCTACCTCATGAGATGTTGGCCAAACTGACATCGCTCGAGAGACTGGGCATACTAGAGAGCTGTGATTCAATGAGGACTTTCCCTTTGGGTATTTTTCCCAAACTCTGGTATCTTAGTTTTCGGAAGTGTGAGAATCTGGAATCCTTTTCGATTGAAGAAGGAGTTGATAAGAATCTCAGTGACTTGTATATCTCAGACTGTCCAAATCTGGTGTGTTTTCCCCAGGGAGGATTGCCGGCTCCCAACTTGAATCACTTTATGATCAATGGATGCGACAATTTGAAGTCATTGCCTGAACGCATTCACACCCTCACAGCCCTTCGAGGTTTGGTTATACATGATCTTCCAAATCTTGTGTCATTTGCGGAATGTGGCTTGCCTCCCAACCTCCGAGATTTTAGCATTGATAATTGTTGTGAGAGACTGAGGCCTTCATCAGTGGGAGAGTACTGGGGTTTGCAAGGACTTTTCTCCCTTGAAGAATTTTCAATTGGTGGCAGGGGAAGTGATGATATCTTGGAGAGGTTGTTCAAGGAACAGCTGCTCCCTCCCAATCTTCACACTCTCCACATCAATAGACTCTCAAGTCTGAAATCTTTGGACAGAAACGGACTTGGACACCTCACTTCTCTTCAACAACTACATATTAGTGGGTGTGACAGTCTCGAATTCCTCCCTCGTCTTCGACACCTCACTTGTCTTCAACAACTTCATATTTATAGCTGTCCAAGTCTCGAATTCCAGCCAGAAGAGGGTTTGCCACCATCTCTTTCTTTACTGAGCATCTCCGATTGTTCTGCCCTAGAGAAAAGGTATGAGAATAAGACAGGACAAGATTGGGCCAACATATCTCACATTCCTTGCATCGACATAACTGGCTATATGATATGATCATTGACCTCTCTCTTTCAGAGACACACAAGTCAGGTACTAATAACTGCTTTAACTGGTTTTCTTCTTATTCAGTACAAAGCCAAAAATAAATACTCTTTTTCAATTCAAAAAACTGAAATAAATATTGGATTGCGCCAATTCAATCCAAATAAACCAAAATACACAAACTTTTGTTTTGTTCTCCGTGGGTATTTCTAATTGTACGTATTCAGGAGATTTAGACTTAAGCTCGCATTCCGTATCGATTAAATAATTTCGGGCATTTGATCAAAACCCATGTTGTACATAACTTATAATCACTGTTTTTTGTCAATTACATTGTCACTGCTGTTTACTGTACTGGTCTCATGCTTTTTGGCAAGTCATTTTCCAGAAAGACAAATTTGTGTGCTTTACACAAAAACTCAAATCTGATTTCTATTATTACTTTGCTCAGTGAATTCTCGTTCTATTTACTTTCTTTCTGATTGGGGTTGTTCTGCTGATCACAACTTATATCCTATTAAGTTTTACAATGCTGAATATTTAGTGGTCTTTTTGCAGGACAGGATACCTTCTCTTGGAGAGCTTTTCATTTGCAAGGTTACTTTACTGTCATTTCTGGGGAAGGGTTTACCATTGTATATAGCCTTTTTGTTTTTCTACAACAACAATTGTCATTTGGAATATCTCAATTGACACATTCCTACATACAGGCATTGAATGTACAACATTTTTAGGTACATTTGAGCTAGTTTAAATTGTATTCGATGCCTATAGATAATCTGTGAGCTTAAGTTGTAAGTTTTTATCATTAACTAGAGGCACATTCATTATGCTCCTGATCTTTTGTCCTCATTTTGTCTGTCCCCTCCCTGTCTCCTATCAAACTTTTTGACATGTGTCTTCTCACTTAACCCTAACCCTATCTTTAATTTATTAAAGTTTAACACTGTTAAGTTAGGATTAAGTTGAAAGACACATGTCAAAAAGTTAGATAAGAGACAAAGAGGGGACAGAAAATCTGGACTCCCATTCATTGGGAGAGGGACTTTTAATGGGTTCATACCGTTAGTTAGTCTTTGGACTTTCCCAAGTACTACATGTATGATATTAATGTTGCGCTGCGTTACAAATGTATATTGTCTTAGTATCAACAGGTGATCTTTGGTTGAGGAGAGAGATCATTCAGCAATTATAAAATTTTATAACTGAATTAAGCTTGTTTAAGCTTTGTTTATCATCTCTCTCCTTTTCTCTGTTTTTAGATTTCATTCATGTTATGATTGGAGTAGTGCTGTATTTTAGATTCCTTTCATGTAAGGTTTAGGGTGTTTATTCAATGTTTTGCAGGGGTAGGGGTGGGAGAGAGAAAAGGGCAGCCTGGAGTAATTTCCTTTTCTTTTCTGTTTTCCAAACTTTTGTTTTTTGGGTTTTAACTTTTTAATTAAGGGAGCTCTACATTTGGCTTTTCCTCTTCAATTTTTATTTTTATTTTTAAAACCTGTAACCCATCACCTTATTTTTCTATAAATAAAATGTTAAAAGGTTAAAGTAATTTTCTAGCAAGTCTTTTTATCTACTCACCTTGGTAACCTACAATTTTATTATGCACAGCTGCTATTTAATTTTCTTTTTATTTCAAGAAAATAAGTTGACTTTTTGAGAAGTTATGCTCTTTAGGGGTTCTTATCTAGGACTGACAATGAGTCGTATGGTGTCTTGTTAGGATCATATACGTGTCAAGAATGCTCAATTCAAACCCAACCTATTTAATAAACGTGCTGGGTTGAGCCACTAATTTTTTGTGTGGGTTTCGAGTTGTGTATCGGGTTGACCCATTAAGTGGTAGACTAGTAACTAGCAAGGTAAACATGTAGACCAAAAACAAAAAAAATTGTAGAGAAGGAGATGACAATTCAAAGAATTTTTTCATGATCACAATAATGTGAGAATTGGTTATTATGCGCAAAGATACATGTGTAAATTACTAAAGACAAATTATAAAATAATTAAAAAAAAAAACGAAGACCCACATCTTAAATTCACAAGGTCATAAAAAAATAATAATAAAACCTGAATTTTGATAATTAATCAAGTAATTGTATTTTTTTTTATATATAAAATAGTGGTTACATTTTGCCTCTCTCTATATATATATGAATATTGAGAAAGAGAAAAAAAAATTAGAAAAACGAAAATTATATGATTAATGAAGAAAAATGAGAAAGAGAAATAAAAAATTGTATGATTAATGAAAATTATTAACTGCTGTAAGGAAGCTTCAAATTTCTTGGCAAATTAAATATTGTTTTTAAACTTTTCATGCTAATGCTATAAAATTCATATCCATACTCATTAGAGAGTATTTGTTTTGTCACGGGGAAAATATATTTTTTTTCTTTATATACGTGGGTATTATGGAGACTTGAACTTAGGACCACTTGGAAGCACGTCAAAGGAGAACGTTAAGGGGTCGTTTGGTACGGTGGATTGTCATGGATTGGACTAAATCTTGGGATTGTCTCAGATTAGCTCGGATTGGCCTAAACTGGATTAAGTATTGACCTACATTTGGTGTTGTGTTGGGTTAAGAAGTTGGATTGTAAAAATAGTAAAGACCTATGTTTGGTGCTGTGTCGGACTAAAAAATAATTCTTGTAATATTTAAATTTAATACAAATTTATAAATAAACCCAATCCTAGACATGTATTTATAAAAAAACCCAAGCACTATTTAAACATAGAAACACACCCAAAATCAACCCCAAAGTCAACTTTTTGGGTGTGTTTATAAATGGGTTTTGAGTGTGTGTAATGATGGGTTTTGGGTGTGTTTATATGTTTAAATAGTGCTTGGGTTTTTTTTATAATTTCAACCCCCATTTTGGGTGTTTTAGTGAAACCCAATTCAAAGATTTATAACAATATTTGACCCAAAAAAAAAAAAATTTAAAACAATAATAAAAAGAAAACAAATAAAATTCTTTTTTCTTTTTTTTAACGAAGAATAAAATTATGATATTTATTTTTTTAGCCTCTCAAGATTAATCTTAATTGGTCGAAACATAGTTAAAGGAGCAAAGCTCACTCTATATAATTCTAGGTTTTTCAGGGACCAAGTAAAACAATAATGAAAAAATTTATATATATATATATATATATGTATAATTTTTGTATATTTGACTTTTGGCTTCAAACTGAAAAATATAATTTGGCAAGGTAAAAATTGCTTGCGATAAAGAAAGCATCACATCACGAATTATTAAACTTGTTTTCATATCAAAAAAATAGCAAACGTTTGTAAATTACTATAGTTTGATTTGCCAAATGCAATATCAAAATAATTATTGTAATATTTTAAGGATTAATAAATGCTGCAAAAAAAAACCCCCATTAAAAAATCTAAGAAAATAATTAAAAGAAAACAAATAAAATTTTGATATTTTTAAAGAGACACATCGAACTCACGTGTTCTATTTAGCAAGCGTTCTATTTAGCGAACCACTTTTCAGGCTCATTGTATTAGACAAGCGAGTGAGACCTTTTTTTTTCACTATTGGACTATATAATCTCATTTAAGTTAGCTCCATCTCTTACCAAACAAGGGTTTCGAGTGCTATTTAACCCAGTCCAGTCCAGTGAGGCGTACCAAACATTCAATCCAACTAGCACTCCATTGTTGGAAAAATGCTTTTCATAATATCACAAATGCCTCTAGTTGATAAAAATATTAAGAAAGAAAAGAATTTATTAAGTGAGGATTATATAATAAATTGACAATCTTATGAATAAATAAAATTTGAAAACGGGGAAAAAAAGAAAAAGAAGAAGATAACATTAGTTACACTGTTAAGCAAAAAAAACACAACCAAATTCTATATAAAGAGAATTTCGCAGTTAAAGAAAGTCAATATAGGCTGGGATATAGAGTTATTTACACTAACACTCCCTCAAGTTTTTGACTTTTCACAAAACCCCTTAATGTTTCGGAAATTACACAAACACCCTCCGAGTTTAAATTGTTTTTATAGAATCCTTTTTTTTATTGTTCGTCCAAAACTTGATGGTTTCATTTAAAAAAAGTTGTGTAAATGACAAAATCAACCTCAATAAATGTATGTGCAATTTAATCTCAAAGGATAACTTTGTCATTTGGAGAATTTTTTTATAAAATCATCAATATTTGGATGAAAAATCAACGAAAATATGTTTTGTGAAAACAATTTAAAACCTAATTAGGTGTTCGTGTAATTTCCAAAACCACAGAGGGTTTTGTCAAAAATCCGAAATCTGAGAGGAGTGTTAGTGTAAATAACTCCTAGGATATATATAAAGCAAAAGACTTTTATTGTTAATTTTTTAATAACTCAAATTTGCCCTCACTTAAAAACAATTCAAAACACAACTACTTTATTTTAAAATGACAAATACATAGAACAATATATATTTAAAATAAGAAAGAAAATAGTTTGCACGTCCAAGAAAAAACTTACTCTGATTTCTGTTATTATTTTGCTTTTTTTCTTAGGTTTTTTTATTTTTTATTTTTTTTAAATCGCAACTTATGTCCTTTTTAAGTCACAACAAATGCTAACTTGGTAGTCTTTTTGCAGATAAGACTTGTCTGGGCTTGATTCTAAAAGTCCCTTTTGTAAATGACTCTTGATATTTCATGCTGCTTCTACAGGGTTTGTGATATTAAAATGAATGAAGCAAAGCAACGTCACTGCCTTCAGTATTAGTCAACTTATTTGTTCTTTCTCTTTTTCTTTTTTTAGGGTAAAGTGTTCTTTTTTTTCTTTTTCTTTTGCTTTACTTCATGAGCAAGGGGAAGTAAAGTCCTCGTAACAACACCGAACAAAAATGTAGCATCTCTCATGCAAATTGCTCCTATTCAAACCTTGGAATCATTATCAGATGTACTCTTCCATAAGCCAAACAGGAGACTCTTCCAGCTCGAGTGCAAGTGGTCCCATGTTGTCTTCTTTAGTAAGACGTTAGCTACCGGCAGGGGCGGAGCTAAAATTGTAAAGTTGAGAGAGGTCGAGGTAGAAAATACAAGTATATAAAACACCTAAGTATTCAATAAGTACATATTTAGAACTAAATATTTCTAATTGAGTCATGTCTAATTTGTTTTAGAGGAAATTTTAACTTAAATTATAAGTAATTTATTACAAATTATATATGTTATATATAATATAATAGAGGAGATATACAAATCTTGGGGGGGGCAGGGCCACTCTAGGCCTAAGAGTGGCTCCGCCGCTAGCTACCAGTCAATTCCTGCTTGTGAAAATATAATAACACAACTTGACATAAATATATAAATAAATATTCAACTCGAAGTTGTGGGTATGCTTTGACGCAAGTAGTGAGGTGAGGGTGGCCAGTCTCCCTCTAAACTTTTGTGAATGAAAAAAATTAAAAAGTCCTACCTAATCGTATATCCTTTTTGACCCAAAAAATCGTATATTGTTTAAGACTATATAGTGCTTTATTGGCCGTGTGGTCTCACCCACCCACCCAATTTGATGTCAACCCACAAATCTTATTGGTCGTACGCATTAGTTATTATATGAAACTATAAAAACACAAATTGAAATAAACAAACATAAAAACAATAATACAGTACTTAGTGTTTCGTTGTTTTCATCCTTATCTTCCAGACCTCAGTCAAGAATTTTGGCCTCACAATCACTAGCCAATATGCTTTTCTCTCATGCTTTTCTTCGTTCATGATTCGATATTCTGGTGTCCTAGGTGTTGCTTTGCATCACCCGAATCGTTTGCAGACCAGAGAGATGGCTGGAGCTTTGATTGGAGAGGCTTTTATCTCTGCTTCCATCCAAGTGTTGTGTGACAGAATTACTTCACGCGAGTTCATCAACTTATTTCGGCAGAAGAAACTGGATCAACCTCTCCTCATGAAACTGAAGGTGACACTGTTGACCTTGAACGCAGTGCTCAATGATGCAGAGGAGAAGCAAATAGAGAACCCGGCTGTGAGAGAGTGGCTTGACGAGCTCAAGCATGCTGTCTTTGATGCGGAGGACTTACTGGATGAGATCAACTATGAAGCTTTGCGATGCAAGCTCGAAGGTGAAGGTCAAATCAACAATTTAACCAATAAGGTGTGGAACTTCCTATCTACTTCTCATAACCATTTTTATCAGAGCATGAATGTTAAGATACAAGAGTTATTACAAAGATTAGAAGACTTTGTACAGCTGAAAAGTGCTCTTGGTCTGAGAGAAGATGTTGGGAGGAAGGTTTCACAAAAAACTCCAACAACTTCCTTGGTTCATGAACCTTGTGTGTACGGTAGAGATGAAGTCAAAGAAAATTTATCAAAATTGTTGTTATCCGATGACGCAAGTAAGGATGATGTGGCTGTGATTGCCATTGTTGGAATGGGTGGAGTTGGCAAGACAACCCTTGCTCGAATGCTTTACAATGACCGTAAGGTGGAAGAACATTTTACACTTAAAGCTTGGGCTTGTGTTTCAGAAGACTATGATGCTATTAGGGTAACTAAAACTCTTCTTGAGTCAGTTACCTTAAAACCTTGTACAATGACAGATCTAAATTTGCTTCAAGTTCAACTAAGAGAACAACTGAAGGGAAGAAAATTTTTATTTGTGTTGGATGACATATGGAATGAGAAATATACTGATTGGAAGTGCCTCCAAACTCCTTTTACTTCAGGGGCAAGGGGAAGTAAAGTCATTGTAACAACAAGGAACAAAAATGTAGCATCATCCATGCAAAATGTTCCTATTCAATCCCTGGAACCATTATCCCATGAAGATTGTTGGTTGTTACTTGCAAAACATGCTTTTGGAAATGAAAACTCTAGTGCACATCCAAACTTGGAAGAAATTGGCAAGCAAATTGCACGCAAGTGCAAAGGGTTGCCTTTAGCTGCACAAACACTTGGCGGTGTGTTACGGTGCAAACTAGATTTCGAGGCATGGAACAGAGTATTAAATAGCAGCATTTGGGAGTTACCTTATGAGAAAAGTGATATTCTTCCTGCTCTAGGATTGAGTTACCATTATCTTCCAGCCAAGTTAAAACGATGCTTTGTTTATTGTTCAATTTTTCCAAAGGACTATGAATTCAATATAGAAGATGTGGTTTTTCTTTGGATGGGAGAAGGTTTAATTCACCAAGCTGAGGATGGAAAAAGCCTCGAAGAGGTTGCTAAGGAACATTTTGATGAATTGTTATCCCGATCTTTGTTTCAACCGTCGGGGAAATCAAGTTTCACAATGCATGATCTCATCAGTGACTTAGCTATGTTCATGTCTAAGGGATTTTGTTCTAGGTTGGAAGTGAGGGAATCACATGAAATAGAAAGAGTTCGTCATTTGTCATATGCAAGGGAAGAATTTGATGTTGCTCATAAATTTGACCCATTAAAGGGGGATAAGTGTTTGCGGACCTTCTTGCCTACCTCTTTGAATCCATACGAAAAGTGTTATCTAAGTAAACAGGTTCTACAAGTTTTGTTGCCATCACTAAGATGTTTACGGGTCTTATCATTGTCACGTTATAAGAATGTCACTGTATTACCTGATTCTATTGAAAATCTCATTCACTTGCGATACTTGGATCTCTCCTATACTGCACTTGAAAGGTTACCTGGTGTTCTTTGCGGTCTTTACAATTTGCAGACGTTAATATTGTCACATTGTTCCTCTCTCGTCGAATTGCCATATATGAGAAAATTGATAAATTTACAGAAATTAATGTTAACAGGCTGCAAGTCTCTTACTAAATTGCCCGTAGATATGAGAGAATTGATTAATTTGCATCATCTTGATGTCAGTGGAACTAAGATTGTAGAGATGCCAGTGCAAATGGGTAGACTAAAAAGTTTGAGAACATTGGCTGCTTTTGTAGTCGGGAAATCTACTGGGCCGAGCATTGGAGAATTGAGGGAGCTGCCACAGCTTCGAGGAAAGCTTTCAATATTGAAACTGCAAAATGTAGTAGATGCTAGGGATGCCTTGCAAGGCAATTTGAAGGATAAGAAAGATCTAAAAGAGTTAAAGTTGGAATGGAGTGATGAGGATGCAGATGATTCCCTAAAGGAGAAAGATGTACTTGACAAGCTCCAACCTTGCGTGAATTTGGAGAAACTAACCATTAGATCCTATGGTGGAACCCAATTCCCTAATTGGTTAGGAGACTCGTCCTTCTCTAACATACAAGTCATGTGTCTCAAAGATTGTAGCTACTGTTGGTTGATGCCACCAATTGGGCGGCTACCTGCTCTCAAGAAGCTCAAAATAAAAAGGATGAAACTTGTTAAGACGATTGGTGTTGAGTTCTATGGAAGAACTGAAGGTTCTCCAATTCAGCCATTTCAATCTCTGGAGAAGCTGCAGTTTGGGGAAATGGCAGAGTGGGAGGAATGGGTACCAAGTGGAAGTGGAAGTGGAGGTGAATATGGTCCAGACTTTCCTCGTCTCAAGGAGCTGATTCTAAAAGATTGTCCGAAGCTTAGAGGAAGCTTGCCCTTGGCTTGTCATCTGCCTTGCTTGAAGAAGCTTTGGGTGTCTGGGTGTGAGGTTTTACATGATCAAAGGGCCACCACTACTACTACTTCTAGTCTTAAAATGGACTCCTACAAATCTCTTGAAGAATTGTTAATCCACGAAACAGGTCTGTTATCATTCCCAGAGATACTATTGCCCAACCTCAATCGTCTTCAACATTTGAGTCTCTGTGACTGTCCAAACCTGTTGTCGTTCCCTGAAGATGGTCTACCCACTACGTTGATATCACTTGAGATAGTCAATTGTAGGAGATTAGAATTCCTACCTCATGAGATGATGGCCAAGTTGACCTCGCTTGACAATTTGCGGATATATTATAGCTGTGAATCAATGAGGTCCTTTCCGTTGGGCTTTTTTCCCAAATTGACGTCGCTTTACATTTGGGAGTGTGAGACTCTGGAATCCCTTTCCGTTGAAGAAGGAGTTGTTGAGAATCTCAGTCATCTCAGAACTTTGTATATCACAGGCTGTCCAAAGTTGGTGTGTTTTCCCCAGGGAGAATTGCCCGCTCCCAACTTGAATGACTTTACAGTCGGTGAATGCGAGAATTTGCAGTCATTGCCCGAACGCATTCACACCCTCACAGGCCTTCGACATTTGGGGATAAGGGGTCTTCCAAATCTTGAGTCATTTGCAGAAGATGGGGGTTTGCCCCCCAATCTCCGAGTTTTTCGCCTTGAGAATTGTGAGAGACTGAGGCCTTCATCAGTGGGAGAGTACTGGGGTTTGCAAGGACTTGTCTCCCTTGAAGAAATTAGAATTGGTGGTAGGGGAAGTGGGGATATCTTGGAGACGTTGCTTATGGAACAGCTGCTCCCTACTACACTTCGCACTCTCCGCATCTGGGGACTTTCAAGTATGAAATCTTTGGATGGTAAGGGACTTGGACACCTCACTTCTCTTCAAAGCCTACATATTAGTGGGTGTGACAGTATCCAATTCCTGCCAGAAGAGGGTTTGCCGCCATCTCTTTCTTTCTTGAGAATCTCCCAATGTTCTGCCCTGGAGAAAAGGTATCAGAATAAGGCTGGAGAAGATTGGGCCAAGATATCTCACATTCCTTGCATCAGGATAAATGATGAGGTCACTATATGATATGAGCTCTCAAAACTCTCTCACATAGACGAAGTACTGTTTTTTGATATTTCACTCTCAACTCTGAAATCAAAGTCAGGTATTTACTTCAAATCATTCCTTGAGCTGCAGAAGTTCTATTCAATGAGACTTAAGATGTTGTATGTATACTTGCAGACTTGAGAAGTTTTCCCATTTTTGGAGGTCAAAGCAACGTGTGAAGGCAACCATGAATGATTTCAGAGTCGATGCTGATGGTGTAATCATAGATGTCATCTTAGCTGCTTACTTCACTGTAAACGCCTTTCTCTTGCTCTCTTCTGTAAGGGTCTACACAGATTAATTTTTTAGCAAGATTTAATGTGGCTCACTTTTTTTTGTTGCTTGTTCATTTAGAATCCTATTACCTTCAATTTTTTTTTATTCCAATTTGGATTGGTAGGATCAGGCCAAGCAGGTTCATACATTACATGCATTACGGCATCAGCATTTCAAACAGAAAATTGGCCTTGAATTGTCTTCTGATGTGACTCAAATATACACTGTGCTTTTGAACACTCAAATTGACATAGATTGTTTTTCTGTGGATGCCACCGTTTATTTATTGTATTTGAACACTCAATTGAAGTAGATAGTTTTGTGTGTTATTTATTGTCATTTCTTGTGTCCTTTGCTTCATTTCTGTCCGTTGCTTAGTTAAATCTGTCCTTCAGCGGTTCAAGTTGAGGCTGGCGTCGAACAAGGATTAGGTTAGCTGTGTAATTCGTGGTAAATTCATCGTAGAAAAGCATCTGTTGGATACGTCCCCTCTTCTATTCTATGTAATAGAATAGGGCGGCTTGCTCTGACCAAGACTCCACTTTTTGCTCCCCCCATGGAGAGTATGATTTCCTGGAATGTATATAGACCAAAAAAGGGAATGCAGGGATAGGAATAGGAGTTATAGTACCATTGGAAGAAGGGGCACCTGTGGGAACATCTCTACTGGCATACCATTTCAATAGTACGGGTGCTGCCGTGCCACAAGGCACAACCATGGAAATAATGAAAAAGAAAAAGTAAACGCCTGTATATGATTCTTTAGATTAATGGTAGTTTTCATATCAGCTGGAACCTTTCTGACTGTACGATGTAAGTAATTATTCTCTTATTGTTTTCCTACTGTTAAAACTTGAAAGGAGCCAGCCACAGAATAAAAATCTACGGATGGGAGCCATTCTTATTTCATACAATTTTTCTAAAGTGTGCATTCATCCCATTCTTCTTCAACAACGGGGGAATTTATACTTGTCGCATGGTTCAAAGGAGGCACCTTTCCTTTGCCCTATTTCCCTGGTCCATCTGCTGCTTCATTGCCTAGTAGCTTTATCTATATGGTTGCAGCTGGTTAAGGAGGTAAGAATGAGTCGGTTTAACCCTGCTTCCTATAATGCATTGTTGTGTAAAGCTTAAATTTTTTTGGTGGAAAGAAGAGGGCTATGGCTTTGGGGGAATGTGATGAATGCCAAGTTAAGAGAGGTTGTTGATCACTTGTAGGAGAGTGTTCATTTCTCGTGCACCTGATTGGACTTTGTATCTTTGGAGTTTAGGGATTTTTCTTTCTCTGTCATCCACTCAAATAGGCAAGCTGCAGTAGTTTTGACTTTTTTTATATATAGATATTTAGTCATATACCGATTCTTAGCACTAAAACTATAAATAAACTCTATACAATTTAATTTCTATAAACAAACCCCAAAAAATAACAGCTGGCCCTTTTGAATTTAATTTTGATTATTAAATTACTATGATGCTCTATTGAGTGTTTTGGGCTTTTTTATGAGGATTTTGGGTTAAGTTTGTTTTAAAAAATCAATGACAATTTTGTAACTTAAAAGAAGTTAAAAGCCTTTTTGTTATGTTGTGAATGGACTTTGGGTGTGTTTCTAAAGTCCATTTCATATAGGGTTTTTTTATAATTTGAGTTCCTATATTGGGTATAATAGTGAATCTCCCTTTTTTTTATGCAATATCGTTTCTGTTTTGTTAATTTGGCGTTTGAGTCTTTCTGTAATTGTTTTTGTTTTGACCTGCTAACGGTGGATACCTTGCCAGCTGTTGCTGTAGTCTTTTATTTTTTAAATGAAAGTTGTGTTTCTCATTTAATGAAGAAATTTTGTACATGTAAAAAGGTACAAAAGTAGGACTATATAAGTTGAAGGCATGTTACATAACTAGAGGGAAAATATCAATTAATAATCAGTTAACCTATTTTCCTGGCCTAAATCCTGATATCCGGGAGTAGTATCTTCCAACATAATTGAGGTATTCTCATGCTAATTGGCATATTTATTGCATATATATTATCTTTTGTGCAAATGATTTTCTCTTTTTTGTCTCACATATCATTCCTTGAGCTGCAAAGTTCTATTTGATGAGACTTGAGATGTTGTATGTGTACTTGCAGCCTTGAGAAATTTTCCAATGTTCGGAGGTCAAAGCAACTTGTGTAGTTCCACGCATGATTTCAGAGTTCAAGCTGATGGTGTAATCACAGATTCTTTTAGGATCCTATTACCATCAAATTGTTTTATTCCAAATGTGGATGGGCAGGATCAGACCGAGCAACGTACATTACATGCTTCATGTCATCAGCATTTCAGACAGAAAATGGCCCTTGAATTGTCTTCTGAGCCAATGAGTTTTTCTAGTATCTGAAGTGCGAAAATTAATGAATTGATGTGTACAAAGAGTCTTGAACATTTTTTCTTGTTGAATGCTGGAAGTGCCTCTTATAAGTGGCTAGGTTGCAATATGTGGTGTCGTCAATGCTCTGCAAAGAGGTTTGTCATCAACTTTGTGCTTGAGATAGATTGTTTTGTCTGTGGATGCCACTGGTTATTTATTGTATTTGAACACTCCATTGAGATATAGATTATTTTGTCTGCGTATTGTCACTTCTTGTTCTTCACTTCATTTCTGTCGGTTGCTTACCTAAATATGCCCTTCAGCATTTAAAGTTGAGACTGGAGTTGAACAAGGTTAGGTTAGCTGTATAATTCTGGGTAAACGCCTTTTTCTATAAACAATTGTAACTGTCTATATAGATTAATTTGTCAGCATTATTCTATGGTTCATTTAGAATCCTATTATCACCAAAAAAAAATCCTATTATTATTAATTTCCTGATTCCATTTTGGACCTGTAGGAGCAGAGCAGACGAAGCATGTTCATACATGGCATGGCTCAAGACATCATCATTTGAGACTGAAAATCAGCCTTCAACTGTCTGCTGAGTCAATAGACTTCTGTAGAGATCTCAAGTGCAAGGGAAAATTGATGGGTTAACATAAAAGATTCGTGAACATTTTTCTGTTCGAAATTTTCTACTGTTGGCTGGAAATGCTTCTCATAAGTGGCTAAGTTTCAATTATTGTGTGGGATCAAAGGCTCTGCAGAGAGGTAAGAAATCCATCGTCAATTATTTTCTAGAGTATGTTACAACTGGTTGTGGCAACTTTGTTAACGCATAGTTTTAATTTAATTCACTGAGCCTCACATCATTGCAGTTTGCTGACCATGGTGTTGAAAACAAAGGGTGCTGCGCATCAAGTACGAGAAAATCAGGTATTGTAGTGTTTTATTCTTGAGAAATTTGGTTTATGTAAATGACAGATTATGTATTATATATAATTATGTGTACACTCCAAACGCCAGTTAGTAAATTAATATGGTGCTAGGTACTTGTTAGAGTCTGAACCAACTCCGCAGCGTGATCCAATGATTCACATTGAATACTGTGCAGTCATCTAACCGTGATCAAATAAATATGAATGCAATTTCTTCAATACATAATGAAAAGTATACATTTTAACCAGGGAGAGTGTCCAAATTTGGTGCGTTTTCCCCAGGGGGAATTGCCCGCTCCAAACTTGAAGCCGCTTATAATCATTGAATGCGACAATTTGAAGTCATTGCCTGAACGCATTCACACCCTCACAGCCCTACGAGAGTTGAGGATAGATGGTCTTCCAAATCTTGTGTCATTTGCAGAAAGGGGTTTGCCTCCCAACCTCCGACATTTTAGCATTCAGAATTGTGAGGGACTGAGGGTTCTGGTGAGAGAGCACTGGGGTTTGCAACAACTTGTCTCCCTTGAAGAATTTTATATTGGAGGTAGAGCAAGTGATGATATCTTGGAGATGTTGCTCAAGGAACAGCTGCTCCTACCACTCTTCACACTCTAGGCATCAACGAAATTACAGGTCTGAAATCTTTGGACAGAAAGGGACTTAAGATACCTCACTTCTCTTCAATGCCTACAAATTGGAAGCTGTACAAGTCTCGAATTTCTGCAACGTCAACACCTCACTTCTATATATTAGGGAGTGTGACCTGCCAAAAGAGAGTTTGCCGCCATCTCTTTCTTCTCTTCGAATAGTAATGTGTTCTGCCCTGGCGAAAAGATATGAGAATAAGACGGGACAAGATTGGGACAACATCTCTCACATTCCTTAACCTGGAGAGACAAAGTACTACTTTTCGATATTTCACTATCAACTCTCAACTCTCAGACCAAACTCAGGTATGTACTTCAAATAACAGGCTTTACTGGTTTTCTTCTAATGGAATATATATTCCTTTTTTGTAACCAAAATACAGTTTTAAACTATTTTTATGTCCACAAATTCGTTGAATTACCCCAAATTTGTTGATTTGCCATCAGTTGTGCATCCAATCAATAAATTTTACAGTTGCCAACAAAGCATAGATTATTGATTGAATGTTCTTCCCAGATCATGGTTTCTGTTCTTCAGGACATCTCTTATAACAATTTGTGCGTAACACAAACACTATCTGATTTCTATTGTTATTTTTCTCAGAAAATTCTCCTTCTGTTTACTTTATTTGTCATTGGGGTTCCTCAATTGATCACAACTTATATCCTATTTCAGTCTCAAATGCTGAATAATTAGTAGTCTTTTAGCAGGACAGCAATCTTCTCTTGGAGAGCTTTTCCCTTGCTAGGTTTCTTTACGTGTCGTCTTCATTTCCAGAAGAGGGTTTACCATTGTGTGTAGCTTTTTGGTTTGCTAGCAACGGAAAGGTTCAGCTGGCTGGAATATCTCAATTGACAATTTCTTTATAAAAATGTATTTAAGTCTCATTTGAGCTAGTTTAAATTGTATTCAATGCCTATGGATAACCTGTGAGCTTAAGTTGTGAGATAAAAGTGACACTATATTATTGTTTTTATCTTCTTGAAGATGTGAGCATGATATTTATCATTCATATTGTTGCAGTGCACATTTGTTGCCATTAATTAGTCTTTGGACTTTGCCAGGGACTGCATGTATGTTAGCCATAGTACTTTGTCTTCTGTCGCTGTACCCTTTTATGTTTTCAATGAAACTTGTGTTTCTCTTTTCTTTTTTCTTTTAAACCGAAGTATCAAGGGGCCCCAACTATCAATTAGAAGCAGTTAACCTGTTTTTCTAGCCTGGTTCTTGATTTCTGGGAGAAAAGCTCGGGTTGAGACAGGGATGTTTAATGGTGAAATGGATGTTATTTCTTGTTCGAGCCCGTTCTCAAAGTGTTTGCAAATGTAGGAGATGAGAGTATTTGGATTGAAAGGAGATGACATGTCTGAGAATAAGCAATCTCTGTTCTTAGATTGATCTGGAGGTGAAATCAGTCATTTTCTTTTCCAATTTAAGCAAATCCGTGTTCTTAGATTGATCTGGTCGTGAAAAGCAGTCAGGGTTTCTTTCAAGAATGCCATCAATTGGAACGTCATAATTGAGAGCAATGCATTCCGACTGAAAAAATTGAGAGCAAAGTATCAAATTCCTTTGTCGACATAATTGATGGTAAATGTACTTCGCAAACACTCAATGTTGAAGAATATAAGTCTCTCATTAGAAACTTGACTAAATAAAATATAAGATATAATGAATGGTTTCACTACTAATATCATCGAGGCCCTTTGTATAAAATCCCCCGAATGCTAAACAAGTGATTAAGTTAGGGATGATATCAATGTTGCTAGTAGTGGGCCAAGGGTCCGTCCCTCTTAAGTCCCTCTTAAATCTTAACACTTAGACCATGAATTTGTGTCAAAATTGACAACCAACCACAGTTTGGAATTTTTTTTGTCTTTCGAATGAACATGTGAAAGATCATAGAAACTAAACTCATTGTCGGGGAAATGCATCATTTAGCCGCAGCAGAAGTCCAGTTTCTGCTAAGCAATCAACAATCACCATAATTACAGATGGGGGCTGTGGGGGAGACATACAGGATGAAGGGTTATGGGAAAGATATACTGGAAGGATTAATCCAAAAAATATTGCATTTAGTTCTACTTCATGCTTAGACGCATTTTGATTCAGACACAGTACTCTCCAGTCTCCACAAATAGAGTTCGTACATATTTTTACTATGTATGACAGACATACAAACATGCTCTAGTACAACTGAGTTTTCTTTTTCTCTTTCCCTTTCTAATTTATATAAAACTGGCACTAGCAAAGATTGCCATCTGAACACTCAAAATCCAGCTCCAACGGGTTTGACCCCTCCTTTGTTGCATCATGTCATGCTTTCTGTGCAGCAAATACATTATTAGCATGTGAGAGAGTGGACAAGAAAACAAAAAGGTACAGAAGCATAATTGTTTTCGTTAAGAGATTGGATCAATCTTTACCTGCATTGGAAGGTACAACTTAAACTCGGGCGGAAGTTCCTCTTCGGAGTACAAGCGGTCAGAGAAATATATCCTCCTGAGGCGGCAATTCGCATGAACCTGTACTCGCAATGTCTCCACATAGTTTGTTCCATAGGCTCTCCTGGTAAAATCGGCTAGATTAAACTGGATTTGATTCCAGCCCTCATCCATCCTCAGTGGCATGGTGCAGATGTATGGCTTCACCCGAGTTACAGCCTACGACACATAAATAAATAAATAAATCCTTGTATTTTTTATCACTTTGATACTTCTACAGCAGTACAATCACTTCAAATACCAGTATTCTTTAGCAGTCAAAACATCAACACTTCAAACAAAAAGTCATCAGGGTGAGGTACATGGCATTTAAACAATATCGCACATAAAAGATGATAGTAATTAAACTTCAGTAAAGGTTAGCTGATTTCTCAAAACTCCTATGAGTGCAATTTATCTGGCATTTGCAGAAGACACCCTGTTCGCTGATAAAACTCAGAAGACAGAATAACAATATACTAAACTATGAATCATTAAGCAACAATCTACTGGAGTGGTCAATGAGTTTTGCATCCTGCACTGCTCGACTCAAAATGGTAGGCAATCTCCGATCAACATCAATGAATTTTTTTTCTCCTGATTCCTGAAGCTGCCAATGGCATATCTAGAAGCCAGATTCCTCTACAACCTTGGACTTAACCTTGGTACATGATTTTTCCCTTAAGTATATACATGTCTTACAAATGCAAGACATCAGGCATAGTTAATATGTTCATAATGCAGCCGGAAAAACTTACAAAAAAGTTGGCATGAAATATGACCAATTTTACACTACATAGATCTTCAAAGACAACAAAAGAAGCTTAGACTTGCTAGTGAAATAGATACATCTTTGAGAAAAACATATGCAGCAGCCTTCATTACTTACCTGAACATGCCCTGAAATACCAACGGAAAGGAAAAGAAAAGAGAACAAGAAAAACAACCATTATGCAATTGATAAACATCAATAAACATGGGCAAACTTACACACTTGAAAATTGGAAGCTCGAAAACGTCTCCTGACGTTCTTGTCATCCAGAACTTGAATCTCAAATGTGAAATACTTCTTCAGATTCTTTACAATCATAACCAGGAATGGAAGTTTTATACCAAGTGTAGCTGATGGGTCTGCTGGGCAAGTAATGTATGTGGACTGGATGTTCGTACCAATTATTTCAAGGACATTGGATTGTATGTCTTCATCCTGTGGTCTTTTAATATGGCCATCGACAACTGCTCAACAAAAGAAAAACATAGAAAAGTCAACCAGTCACTAAGTCATTCCATCATCATGTCAACATCTTAAAGGCATCCGCCTTATACTACGGTCTAAAGTAGAAAAATAGTTATTTCCACTCTAGCATCAAGCAATGCCCCATCCAATATAAACATCAATTCTACAAACTTTCCAACATGCGCGTGCCTCATTATTTACTATGTCATGAACAGACTTAAAGAGACCCTAAAATTTAATGGTATATCGCAGTGGAAGGGGATCCATCCATTAGAGATTACTAAGTCTTTTAGCTAATGCGCCTATCAGCAGATTAGATGTTCATCAGTCACCAATCTTAACAAAAAGACATGGATGTTGTATGCAAGCATGAAACAAAAAGGGATGAATTGCAAAGAATAAGAGAGTATTGAACCATGACTGGGCACCTCCATGTATTAAACTATAAAAAAGCATACAACCAATTTAGTCCTTGTGCTACCACTTCAAACTATTTAGATTTGTAGAAGCTACAGGCACTTCTTTAATTCAGACGATACTTGGGAGAAAATATATAAAAGGCATAAACAACACAGAATAGTCAAAATTGCATCTTACATTGATATTTGAAACAAGTTCAATTTAACAAGCATTTCAAAATTTCATCAACAGGTTTTACATTTCCAAAGCCAAAACCACTCACCTTCTTTATCCCAAATCTGCAACGGTTTGCTCCTACATATTCAAAAGAATGCACAGATTAAAATCAAAGTTACAAGTGCAAGGATAAAAAAAGATACTCAAACACAAGAGACAGAGACGGCATACCCAAGGCTGTATAGAATTGACAGAAATCCGGATTGAAATGTGTTCTTGAACATTTTTACTTCTTTCTAAACCGAGCTGCAATGAAAGCACAACCATTGTAAGCTATAACTGGACTTAACATTTCTTTTGCTTCTGGTTTTTCGTTCAATTGGAATTGGAAGCCCATTAATATATAACAAAAGCACATAATCTACAAACAAAAAGAAAAAAACAATCTTAACGTTTTAAATTCAAGTATTCTATCAATGGCTGAATATAAATCCCAGTTATCCTTGAAACTAGCAGATGTGTAGAACCCTAGATTATATCATCACAATTTATGGAAGGGGAAACTATAGTAACAACATAAGAACGGCAACCATCTGTTCAACTCCATAGATTTTGAATATCACGTTTGGCCGAGACAAGGAATTTGATCAAATTCCAAATGTCTGTACTTTTAGCTCACAGACAGACAGACACTCAAATATACTTACCCAGGAAAGAGTCGTTTCGACCACAACGCCAATTGCAGGCCTTAAGCTTCTCAAAGCCCCAACCTGATAGACCAATTGCGATTCCCCTCTCTCCCAATCTGTCTCTGTCTCTCACTCTGCAAGCCCTAATTGTCCCGCGTGTGTGCGCTTTTGTTTTGGTAAATATTGTCTTGCGTATTTTGTGCATTAGGCCGAATTAGAATTTTTTTTTTGGGGGGTAATTTTTATTATTCAGGAAATGTTAGAAAACTCCCTTAGAGCATCTCCACCCACAAGGGCTAAGTCTAAGGCAAGGGCAAGCAAGGGCTGCCACTATTCACGTGAATAGTGTCAGCCTTTGCATTTGTGGTTCCACCCACAAGGGCAAGTCTAAGGCAATTACTATTCATTGTACTTTATTTTCTATTTTTTTATAGTTTAAACCATTAATTTTGATAATCTTTTGTAATTAAATTTTTAGATAAGATTTTCACCCTCTAAAATTGTGCCACGTCTAATGTAGAACAAATGGTAGATTTTATCGCGGTTGAGCTAGAAAAAAGACGTAGTGGGAATTTGCAGATTTGTCGTCCGAGCTCCGATTAGGACGCAAAATACCATTTCGGAAAGGGAACGACGCCACGAGTCAAACTCACACTTTGCTTTGACATATGATGGATTTTGGCATTTTGAGGTCGTTTGGCCTTCCAAAACGGCATTTAAAGTTTCGTAGTTAATTTTCGGTATTTCAGATTTTAATAAAAATTATTCCAAGAAAATTCCTTCTAAAATTGTGCCACGTGTCAAATGTCAGATAACATTTTCAGATATTTAAAAAAAAATTATAATCTCATATTTCAGATAAGATTTTCACCCTCTACAATTGTGCCCCGTGTCAAATGTCAGATAACATTTTCAGATATTTTTAAAAAAATTTAATCTCAGATTTCAGATTAGATTTTCACCCTCTACAATTGTGCCACGTGTCAAATGTCAGATAACATTTTCAGATATTTTAAAAAAATTATAATCTCAGATTTTAGATAAGATTTTCATCCTCTCAAATTGTGCCACGTGTCATCTCTATCTTCTAAATCCGTCTATAAACTAGACCTGATTTTCAAACCTCTCACACCATCTCTTATCTATTCCTTCATTTCTCAGATTGTAGAAAACACATTCTACTCTCAATGTCAAACTTGTTGAGGGTGTTGGAGAGGCAACAGAAACAAAGGGAAGAAACAAGGCGTAGACGTGCTCAAGAAGATCGGGAAGCCGATGAAGAAGAGGAACTACTGCTTGCAGCAGCGGTGTGTATGATGGATCAATCAAGGCAACACCGTCGTCCTCGTGCCCCGAATGTGGACAGACGTAGGGAGTCTCGGGGTAAGAATCTCATGAAGGATTATTTTATCCCAAATCCGTTATATCCTGCTTCTAAGTTTCGAGAAAGATATAGAATGCAACCACATTTGTTCCAAAAAATCATGCATGATATTTGTAATTACGACACATACTTCATTCAAAAGCATGATGCTGTTGGAGCTTTAGGTCTTATCCCGGAGCAAAAACTGACAGTTGCTTTGCGGATGCTTGCTTATGGGGCATTTGCAGAGCAGGTGGATGAGATTGCAAGGATGGGAAAATCTACTGTCCTAGAGTGCTTGGTGAGATTTTGTGATGCAGTGGAAAATTTGTACACGAGGGAGTACCTTCGCAAACCAACGCCAAGAGACCTGCAACGGCTTCTACAAAAAGGCGAGGCTCGAGGTTTCCCAGGAATGATTGGAAGCATCGATTGTATGCACTGGCAGTGGGAGAACTGTCCTACTGCTTGGCAAGGGGAGTACGGGAATCGGAAGGGCCAAAAAAGTATAATTTTGGAGGCCGTAGCTTCATTCGATTGTTGGGTTTGGCATGCCTTCTTCGGGGTTGCCGGTTCTCAGAATGACCTCAATGTCCTTGGTCAATCCCCAGTGTTCGATGAGGTATTGCGAGGTCATTCCCCCCAGGTCACGTACCAAATCAACAATACCGTTTACTCTGGTGCGTACTACCTTTCCGACGGAATTTATCCTAGGTGGACGACATTCGTGAAAACAATTCCGAATCCCCAATCCGAGAAGGAAAGAAACTTTGCTTCCTTTCAAGAAGGTTACAGGAAAGACGTGGAGAGGTGTTTCGGTATCTTGCAAGCTCGTTGGGCAATTATTAGAGGTGCTGCTCGGATGTAACACCCCGACTCTATTTAAAAAGTTAAAATTAAATTAACTGTGAAATTACGAAACTACCCTTGGGGTAGGGTATTTTGGTCATTTTCTTGTCCGAAAGGATTTTGGGACCACAAGTGGTTTAGTTGTGTAAATGGTTCTGAGATGAATTCGTAGACAGGCGGTAGGCTTGAATCGGAGTTATAACGAAGTGATGGCGATGAAATTTCTTTCGGTGGCAAACTCGTAAATAAGTCAAAAAGGTAATTGTAAAACCTATTTCAGTTTACTTTCCTCTCTCTCTCTTTCTCCCGTGCGTTCTCTCTCTCTCCCGCGAACACTCTCTCTTTCGTCACTGTTCACCCGAACAGAATTCTTCACACCGCCACCACTTCCGGCCACCCCAGCCCCCGAGACCGGTTCCGTTCGACTCGTAGTGAAGTCCCGGACCTGACCCACCCAAAATCCCGACCGTCAAGCTCGAGAACCGCCGACTGTGGCGACTGGTTCGAATCGGAAGTTTTCCGATCGTTGCACCACCGCTTCAGTCATCCTTTTCCGGTGTGAAAGGTGAGTTTTCTCCCTCGTTTTATCTGTTCTAGCTGCCTGTTGCTTAGGATTGAAATGATTTTGAGGTTTTGGAAGTGATTTTCGAAGTAGGGTTTTGGCCGGTTTTCAATTCGAAATTCCGGCCAGTTCCCGGTGGTTTTGGGCTTCGCCGTAGTTGAATGAAGTGTTCCCCTAGTTGAGTAGGACCTGTAGCCGGGAGGGTGACTTGTGATTTGGAGATTTTCCGTCGCCGGAATTTCTCCACACACCCGCTTGCTGCCGGCGCGTGTGGTGGCGCGTGGGCAAGTGTGGTGGAGCTACAAATTGTTCCAATGTGATCCTTACGTTGTCACGAGTGCATAGGATTTCGCGGATCTCGATTCCGAGGTCGTTTGACTATCGAACGAATTATCGCATATTGTGCGTTATTTGGGTTCGATATGTTCTGACCGTTGGATCGTTTTCCAATTTAAGTATGTTCCTCTGGATAACCGTAAGATCGTGTAGGATTCGACGGATCGTAAAACGGAGTCCCGGATACTCCGGAAATGCCAACCCTAGGGTGAGGGTTTCAGTAACCGTCCAATTGTGCGATCGTGAACAATCCGACCGTCCGTTCTGAACCAAACTTACAGGACGTGTATCCTAGATCTCGTAAAACCTATAGGAACTCCCGGGAAGCTAGGGTTTTATTTCAAGTTCTGTTTTGAAGTGCTTGATATTCATCGCATTTTTGTATTCTGAATCAGGTACTCCGACCCAGCATACGCAGCAGGCGGGACCCTCTAAGGGTCAAGCTGTGTGGGACTACTTGTGAGTGGACTTTTCTTTTGAAACTCAGTATGATTTTATTCATAGAAATATGGCATATCGGATTATTATATCTAGTAATTATTTTTATATGCTTGAATGGGAATTTGAGGTTTTCATGAAACTTACATTGATATTTGAATTTTGAGAAGCTATGTTTACATGCGGCTATGCATGGGATACTTGGTGGTTAAGGTTAATATGAACCATGGAAAGGTAATGTTGGATTTATTATTTGGAGTGCGTTAAGCACTAATTTATGTACCTCCCCTGATCTGAATTTGGTTATGATGAGAATTCAGGGCATCCTTGAGGGGATGTTGCTGTGGACCCTGGATTTGGGGTAGTCTGCGCGCGTAGGACTGGTATTTCAGGCGTACAAGCTTTGACTATGTCGGCTGTATGTGCTGGCTGAGAGTTAGTCCCCCGGTTGGACGGCTCGTTCCCTAGACACATGGTGAATTGAGGAATGGCTCTGCCATGTGGCCTAGTCAAACAGTCCCCCGGTTGGATTGTTTCCCCGGTACAATTAAATATTGGTTATCTTGATATACTATTATGATTATTATTATTACTATTATTATTATTATTATTATGTTATCTCATATTCTCATATTATTATTATTATTATTATTATTATGTATGTATATGATATATATTTATGTATATGAATGTTCCTTCGTTTTATTTTTCGGTAAGGATATTTCCTCGCCGGTCGTACTTTTGAGTACGTTTACGAGAGTCTAATCTCTCGGGCCTCTTAAGTTGAATGGTGGGTTTCGTGAAGCATTATTCACGGATTACGGATTTGAGATCCGGTATATATATGTTCGTGTATGCTTATATACCTTTTTCTTATGGTTGTTATACTTATGGTTTCATTATATGTTTTTATAAAGGTGGGGGTTATACTACTTTGATTTCTTTTGAACTGAACTTGATTTTTGTCCACTCACAACTTTCTATTTTGCGCCCCCAGCCAGTAGCGACTGAGCTTTGCAGTTGAGCCGGACCGGGTGCATCTTGGAACTCGAGTCTTCGTAAAGACTCTTGGTGCTTTGTTTTTCCTTTCAGTTAAACGGTACTTCGGTTGTATTTTTGAATTCCTTAGATATGCTCTGTATCGCCCACTGAGGGTTTAATTTTGTGAGGCCGGAGGCCTTTGTTGTAAAGTATTTTGTTGCTTGTAAAGCATGCTGCCAGTTGGTTGTAATTAACTGTAAATTTTGAACAGGTTGAAGTTTGGGAATGTTCAATTTACAGGGGAGACTCTGCCAAATTTTTGGTAGAAAGTCTCAATCTTTACTAAGTGGGCCCGGCATTAGGTTGATGTCGGTAATTAGGCGGGGTTCGTCCCGGATTCCGAGGAAATTCGGGGCGGGTCTTGTCAACTTGGTATCAGAGCATTAGGTTCATTTTCCTTTGACCTTTGCGCTTTTGCCGCATTGTTGAAGCTAATGATTCTATGGTTTCCTTTGTGTAGAATCATGCATCCTCAGCGTCCTAGAACGAGGGGTGGTCGTGTTCCGAGACGGGGAGCAAATACTCCACCTTCCCCGCCACTACCCTCTCCACCTCCTTCACCTCCATCTTCACCATCTCCACCTACCGAGGAGCATGATGGAGAAAATGAGCCCGGCTTGCGACATCTCTTATCTCGGTTCACCCGCACTATGTCTAATGCCTTACATGGGAGACGGAATGTTGAAGGTTTGGACATAAAGAGGGTAAAGGACCTGGGAGCAAAAGAGTTTTATGGTAGTATTGATCCTGCTGAGGCTGATGCTTGGCTTACAGAGGTCGAGCGGATATTTGAAGTTCTCCAGTGTCCTGATGGAGATAAGGTTCGCTTGGCTACCTTCCTGTTAAAGGGGAATGCATACCATTGGTGGAAGACAGTTCGAAGAGGGTCTGCAAACCCTGCTGCCCTTACTTGGGAAGAGTTCCAAAGGGCGTTCTTTGATCAGTTTTACCCGCATACTTACAAGACTACGAAGAAGGCTGAGTTTCTGCACCTGAGGCAGGGTTCCATGTCAGTGTTCGAGTATGAGCACAAATTTAATGAGCTGTCCCGGTTTGCACCTGAGTTGGTAACCACAGAAGCAGAGAAGTGCCTTCGTTTTGAAGAGGGTCTGTGGCTAGATATTCAGGCGGTGGTCACTGCTACGACGTATCCTACCATGAGAACCTTGGCCCAAGCAGCAGACAGGGTGGCGAAGGCGTACAGTCTGGGTGCAGGTATTGGTAGGCGTCGCAGAGACTCATCTGGTTTTGGTGGGCCCAGCCAAGGTCCATCAAAGAGAGGTGGATCCAGCTCTAGTTCTGCAAGCAGTGGTTGGTCCGGAGGACGTGGAACCGGTTCTGGCAGTGGGGGGTCTGGCTCTCGACCATTCTGGAGCCAGTCCTCAGGACAACAATCCGTGGGTAGCACCGCCAGAGATTCTCAGAGGCCATTTACTGTAACTTGTTATAGTTGTGGGCAAGTTGGACATGTGCGAAAGAATTGCCCAAACCAGGGGCAGGCGAGTGGCTCTGGGCAAAGGAGCGGAGTGACTTGTTTCCAGTGTGGGCAGGTAGGGCACTATAAGAGTGAGTGCCCCCTTGCTGTTGGTAGTATTGCTGCAAAGGAGACTGGGGCCCAGCGGGGGCAAGGCAGCAAAGCTCAGGGTCAGACACAGAGTGGTGCATCGTCGTCTGCAGCGGGTTCGTCGTCGAGTAGTGGAGTGCAGTCCACGTTTCGGGGCAGAGGCGATAGGGGTCAGAGGGGTCAGTCTGGACGCTCTACTACGCAAGCCCGTGTATTCTCGATGACACAGCAAGAGGCGCAGGCTACACCCGATGTTATCACTGGTATGATCCCTATTTTCGGTTACTTTGCTCGTGTTTTGATAGATCCCGGGGCCACCCATTCTTTTATCGCCTATAGTTTCTTACCTTATGCCAGTGTTAGATCGACACCCATGGCAGAGAATTTGAGTATCTCATTACCTACGGGCGATGTTTTGTTTGCGGACATGGTTTTCAAGGATTGTGATGTCCAAGTGGGTGATGCCATGTTGGAAGCTGATTTGATTCCCTTGGAATTAGTTGACCTTGACATTATCTTGGGAATGGATTGGCTGGAAAAGCATCGTGCGTCGGTAGATTGTTTTCGGAAAGAGGTTGTGTTCAGAAGTCCTGGACAACCTGAAGCAATATTCCAAGGAGAGCGTAGAGTTCTCTCATCTTGTCTGATTTCCGCCATAAGGGCAAAACGATTACTCAAGAAGGGTTGTGTGGGGTACTTAGCTCATATCATTGATACTCAGGGGTCCACTTTGAATCTGGAAGATATTCCTGTGGTTTGTGAATTTTCAGATGTCTTTCCTGATGATCTTCCTGGTTTGCCTCCCCAGAGAGAAACCGAATTTACTATTGAACTTCTTCCAGGAACGAATCCAATTCATCAAGCTCCTTATAGAATGGCACCAGCAGAGTTGCGTGAGTTGAAGACGCAATTGCAGGAGTTGGTGGATCTTTGGTTCATTCGACCTAGTGTTTCCCCTTGGGGTGCACCGGTATTATTTGTGAAGAAGAAGGATGGAAGCATGAGGCTTTGTATTGATTACAGGCAGTTGAACAAGGTGACAGTGCGTAATCGATATCCTTTGCCTCGAATTGACGACTTGTTTGATCAGTTGAAGGGTGCCAAGTACTTTTCCAAGATTGATCTGAGATCAGGATATCATCAACTCAGAGTACGGGAAGATGATATTCCTAAGACAGCATTCAGAACTCGTTACGGCCATTACGAGTTCTTGGTGATGCCTTTCGGATTGACAAATGCTCCAGCAGCGTTTATGGATCTCATGAACAGAGTGTTCCGACCTTATTTGGATCACTTTGTGATTGTGTTCATAGACGACATCCTAATTTATTCCCGAACTTTGGAGGGTCATAAAAAACATTTGAGGCTGATATTGAAAACTTTGAGAAGGAAGCAGCTTTATGCCAAGTTCAGTAAATGTCAATTTTGGTTGGATAGAGTGGACTTCCTTGGACATGTGATATCAGCAGAAGGAATTTATGTGGACCCTCGTAAGGTAGAAGCAGTCGTGAATTGGGTGCAACCCACAAGTGTAACAGAGATACGGAGTTTCCTAGGGTTAGCAGGCTACTATCGTCGGTTTGTAGAAGGGTTCTCTTCGATAGCAGCACCTCTTACTCGGTTGACGAGGAAGGATGTTAAGTTTGAGTGGACGGAGGAGTGCGAGCAGAGTTTTCAGGAGTTGAAAAAGCGGTTAACCACCGCACCTGTTTTGGCTCTTCCGGATAACTCGGGGAACTTTGTGATCTATAGTGACGCATCTTTACAAGGCTTGGGATGTGTTCTGATGCAACATGATCAGGTAATTGCTTATGCCTCAAGGCAACTCAAGAAGCATGAGCAGAATTATCCTGTCCATGACTTGGAACTTGCCGCAGTGGTGTTCGCTCTCAAAATCTGGCGGGATTATCTGTATGGTGAGACGTGTCAGATTTTCACCGATCACAAGAGCCTCAAGTACTTTTTCACTCAGAGGGAGTTGAATATGAGACAGCGGCGTTGGCTGGAATTGATTAAGGATTATGACTGTACGATTGAGTATCATCCCGGTCGAGCTAATGTGGTAGCCGATGCACTAAGTCGGAATGTTGGTGGAAGTCTAGCTCATCTCAGAATGGCCTATCTTCCGTTGTTGGTAGAACTGCGGAAGGATGGTGTAGATTTGGAGATGACTCCTCGGGGAGGAATACTTGCTAGTGTGCATGTGAGGCCTATTCTGGTTGAGCGGGTGATTGCAGCACAATTGGGAGATCCTAATCTTTGTGTGATAAGATCGGAAGTAGAAAATGGTACACGGACGGATTACGCAATAAGGAAGGATGGAGCTTTGGTGACTGGAACTCGTCTTTGTGTACCCAAGAACCATGACGACTTGAGAAGGGAAATCATGGAAGAAGCTCATTGTTCTACTTACTCTATGCATCCGGGTAGTACTAAGATGTATCGGACTTTACGTGAGTACTACTCGTGGCCGCATATGAAGGGAGATATTGCTCAGTATGTGAGCAAGTGTTTGATTTGTCAACAAGTGAAAGCGGAACGGCAGAAACCGTCCGGACTCATGCAACCACTTCCGATCCCTGAATGGAAGTGGGAGCTTATCACAATGGACTTCGTTTTCAAACTCCCACGTACTTCAAAGGGGTATGACGGAATTTGGGTGATAGTTGACCGACTCACCAAATCCGCCCATTTTCTACCTATAAAGGAAACCTATTCTTTGTCAAGGCTGGCAAAACTCTTTGTGGATGAGATCGTGAGATTGCATGGAGCTCCTGTGTCTATTGTATCGGACAGGGATGCAAGGTTCACATCTCATTTCTGGAAGTGTTTAAATGAGGCTATGGGTACGAAGTTACATTTTAGTACTGCTTTTCACCCACAGACTGATGGACAGTCGGAAAGAACCATTCAGACCTTGGAAGACATGTTAAGGTCTTGTGTTTTACAACTGAAAGACAGTTGGGATACTCACCTTGCATTGGTGGAATTTGCTTATAACAACAGTTACCATTCGAGCATTGAGATGGCTCCATATGAGGCTCTGTATGGAAGAATGTGTAGAACTCCTGTTTGTTGGAATGAAGTGGGTGAAAGAAAGTTGGAAAAGGTAGATAGTATCCGAGCCACAACTGAGAAGGTGAAAATGATTAGAGAGAAGTTGAAAACCGCACAAGATCGACAGAAGAGTTATGCGGACAACAGGTCCAAGGATCTTGAGTTTGCAGTGGGGGATTGGGTGTTTCTAAAGTTATCTCCATGGAAGGGTGTGATGAGGTTCGGTAAACGCGGGAAGTTAAGCCCTCGTTATATTGGACCTTATGAGATTACTGAACGCATTGGACCAGTTGCCTATAGACTTGCCTTACCTATAGAACTATCTCGGATCCATGACGTGTTTCATGTATCCATGTTAAGGAAGTACATGCCTGATCCTTCTCATGTTTTAGAGCACCAACCTATGGAGTTGAGTGAAGATTTGACATATGAGGAGCAACCTGTACAGATCTTGGACAGGAAGGAGCAAAGGTTGCGCTCTAGATCCATTCCTGTAGTGAAGGTATTATGGAGAAGTCAAACTGTTGAAGAGGCTACTTGGGAACCCGAGGCGCAAATGCGGACCCAGTACCCTTATCTCTTCAATTGACAGGTATGTAAATTTCGGGGACGAAATTTTTATAAGGGGGGGTAGGTTGTAACACCCCGACTCTATTTAAAAAGTTAAAATTAAATTAACTGTGAAATTACGAAACTACCCTTGGGGTAGGGTATTTTGGTCATTTTCTTGTCCGAAAGGATTTTGGGACCACAAGTGGTTTAGTTGTGTAAATGGTTCTGAGATGAATTCGTAGACAGGCGGTAGGCTTGAATCGGAGTTATAACGAAGTGATGGCGATGAAATTTCTTTCGGTGGCAAACTCGTAAATAAGTCAAAAAGGTAATTGTAAAACCTATTTCAGTTTACTTTCCTCTCTCTCTCTTTCTCCCGTGCGTTCTCTCTCTCTCCCGCGAACACTCTCTCTCTCTCGTCACTGTTCACCCGAACAGAATTCTTCACACCGCCACCACTTCCGGCCACCCCAGCCCCCGAGACCGGTTCCGTTCGACTCGTAGTGAAGTCCCGGACCTGACCCACCCAAAATCCCGACCGTCAAGCTCGAGAACCGCCGACTGTGGCGACTGGTTCGAATCGGAAGTTTTCCGATCGTTGCACCACCGCTTCAGTCATCCTTTTCCGGTGTGAAAGGTGAGTTTTCTCCTTCGTTTTATCTGTTCTAGCTGTCTGTTGCTTAGGATTGAAATGATTTTGAGGTTTTGGAAGTGATTTTCGAAGTAGGGTTTTGGCCGGTTTTCAATTCGAAATTCCGGCCAGTTCCCGGTGGTTTTGGGCTTCGCCGTAGTTGAATGAAGTGTTCCCCTAGTTGAGTAGGACCTGTAGCCGGGAGGGTGACTTGTGATTTGGAGATTTTCCGTCGCCGGAATTTCTCCACACACCCGCTTGCCGCCGGCGCGTGTGGCGGCGCATGGGCAAGTGTGGTGGAGCTACAAATTGTTCCAATGTGATCCTTACGTTGTCACGAGTGCATAGGATTTCGCAGATCTCGATTCCGAGGTCGTTTGACTATCGAACGAATTATCGCATATTGTGCGTTATTCGGGTTCGATATGTTCTGACCGTTGGATCGTTTTCCAATTTAAGTATGTTCCTCTGGATAACCGTAAGATCGTGTAGGATTCGACGGATCGTAAAACGGAGTCCCGGATACTCCGGAAATGCCAACCCTAGGGTGAGGGTTTCAGTAACCGTCCAATTGTGCGATCGTGAACAATCCGACCGTCCGTTCTGAACCAAACTTACAGGACGTGTATCCTAGATCTCGTAAAACCTATAGGAACTCCCGGGAAGCTAGGGTTTTATTTCAAGTTCTGTTTTGAAGTGCTTGATATTCATCGCATTTTTGTATTCTGAATCAGGTACTCCGACCCAGCATACGCAGCAGGCGGGACCCTCTAAGGGTCAAGCTGTGTGGGACTACTTGTGAGTGGACTTTTCTTTTGAAACTCAGTATGATTTTATTCATAGAAATATGGCATATCGGATTATTATATCTAGTAATTATTTTTATATGCTTGAATGGGAATTTGAGGTTTTCATGAAACTTACATTGATATTTGAATTTTGAGAAGCTATGTTTACATGCGGCTATGCATGGGATACTTGGTGGTTAAGGTTAATATGAACCATGGAAAGGTAATGTTGGATTTATTATTTGGAGTGCGTTAAGCACTAATTTATGTACCTCCCCTGATCTGAATTTGGTTATGATGAGAATTCAGGGCATCCTTGAGGGGATGTTGCTGTGGACCCTGGATTTGGGGTAGTCTGCGCGCGTAGGACTGGTATTTCAGGCGTACAAGCTTTGACTATGTCGGCTGTATGTGCTGGCTAAGAGTTAGTCCCCCGGTTGGACGGCTCGTTCCCTAGACACATGGTGAATTGAGGAATGGCTCTGCCATGTGGCCTAGTCAAACAGTCCCCCGGTTGGATTGTTTCCCCGGTACAATTAAATATTGGTTATCTTGATATACTATTATGATTATTATTATTACTATTATTATTATTATTATTATGTTATCTCATATTCTCATATTATTATTATTATTATTATTATGTATGTATATGATATATATTTATGTATATGAATGTTCCTTCGTTTTATTTTCGGTAAGGATATTTCCTCGCCGGTCGTACTTTTGAGTACGTTTACGAGAGTCTAATCTCTCGGGCCTCTTAAGTTGAATGGTGGGTTTCGTGAAGCATTATTCACGGATTACGGATTTGAGATCCGGTATATATATGTTCGTGTATGCTTATATACCTTTTTCTGATGGTTGTTATACTTATGGTTTCATTATATGTTTTTATAAAGGTGGGGGTTATACTACTTTGATTTCTTTTGAACTGAACTTGATTTTTGTCCACTCACAACTTTCTATTTTGCGCCCCCAGCCAGTAGCGACTGAGCTTTGCAGTTGAGCCGGACCGGGTGCATCTTGGAACTCGAGTCTTCGTAAAGACTCTTGGTGCTTTGTTTTTCCTTTCAGTTAAACGGTACTTCGGTTGTATTTTTGAATTCCTTAGATATGCTCTGTATCGCCCACTGAGGGTTTAATTTTGTGAGGCTGGAGGCCTTTGTTGTAAAGTATTTTGTTGCTTGTAAAGCATGCTGCCAGTTGGTTGTAATTAACTGTAAATTTTGAACAGGTTGAAGTTTGGGAATGTTCAATTTACAGGGGAGACTCTGCCAAATTTTTGGTAGAAAGTCTCAATCTTTACTAAGTGGGCCCGGCATTAGGTTGATGTCGGTAATTAGGCGGGGTTCGTCCCGGATTCCGAGGAAATTCGGGGCGGGTCTTGTCATCGGATGCTAGATGAGGAGGTACTGCGGAGTATTATGATGACTTGCATCATCCTTCACAACATGATTGTGGAGGATGAGTATGACTATGATGCTGAAGAGGTGTTTGAACCCGATCCAATGAACACATCGTTGACAAGAATATATGAAAGGCCGATTGGACCAAATGGACTACCACTGGAGCCCGAACCCATACTTCGGGATGGTTAATTCAACAACCCCATGATTGATCGGTATCAAGAAATGCAATCTTCATATGTTCACGAGATACGTCAACGTGACTTGATCGAGCACTTGTGGGAGATGAAAGGCAATCACAATGGATGAAGTCAAGATTAGTGCTTTGTTTGGAATTATGCTTTCTTTTTAATTATGCTTTGTTTTGTGTGTGGTTTTGTTTGGAATTATGCTTTGTTTTTAATTATGCTTTATTTTGTGTGTGGTTTTTTTTTGGAATTATGCTTTTTATTATTATGCTTTTATGTATGGTTTGTTTTGTGTGTTGTTTGCAATCAATGAAGGTTTTTTTTAATTAATATTTGTTTTGATACTCAAATGTTTTTAATAAATAGTCATTTAATTTAATGCTTTTTTTATTGAATAAAAAGGGAACAATACAACAAATTAAAGGATAAGGGAACAATACAACAAATTAAAGGATAAGGGAACAATACAACAAATTAAAGGATAATACAACAATACAACAAATTAAAGGATAATACAACAATACAACAAATTAAAGGATAATACAACAATACAACAAATTAAAGGATAATACAACAATACAACAATACAACATATGGCAAAGGTGTTTCAATTGCTTCCTAATGGTTTTCATCATTTAACCAATCCGTATTGCTATGTCCGTCGTCATTGAAAAGTTTTTTCCTCATCACATCTCTTCGTCGTAGCTTCCAATAGGCCTTTGTTTCAGGAGACATATGGCTCGTATCCATAGCCATGATTTTCATCTCTCTATCCTCTATGTCTTTTTCTTGTGCCATTTGTTGTTGGAGAACAAATGCTTCCTCTCGTGCCATGTCCATTTCATCTCTTTTCAAGTCTCTCTCGATTCTTAGTGAGGTGCTCTTAGCTATTTGCTCCAATAATTGTACACAATCATTGGTCGAAGTGGCCCCTCTCTTGGCCTTTGCCGCCTTTCTCCCAATAGGTCTTGGCGGACGTGGCACAAATGGTGACTCCGTTTCCATTGGGGAGTCCAATGGAGAATCGGTTGATGTTGAATCGTGGAGTGGCGTCTCATTCATCACAACCGGCGGACCGGTGGGAATTATTTTGAATCTCGAACAATCCTTCACAATTTCCCAACATTGGAAATGCACGAAACTTTTTTTGCCTTGCCCCATGGCACCGAACCACATTTGTGCTTGTACCATCTATTAAAAATAAATAATTGGAAGTGCAAGAAACAAAAATTATTATGCAAGAAAATATAAACTATTTTGAAATGCAAAAATAAAATTGATTATGCAAGAAAATATAGACAAATTAAAGGTGCACCAAGAAAAAAAAATTATGCAAGAAAAACAAATAGAATATGCAATAAAAAAAAAGTGACATTGAATTGATTAAAATGGCAATTATAAATATTTTACCTCATCGGTCAAATTTTGACCGCTTTGAATGTTCGCCTTTGCTTTTGTCAAGGCATTTCTCCATTTCCCTAACTCTTTATTAAGAAGTTTCCATCTACTAGACAACGCCATTTCGGTCCGAATAGAACCCGATCTTTGACAAAATTCTCCATGAATTTTGCTCCACATGTGATGAAACTTCATCTCATTACCCGTGATAGGGTCATGACTAATGTTCACCCAAGATTGACACAACGCAATATCTTCCTTCGTTGACCACGAGCCTCCGACTTCAATAGAAGATGCCATTCGTTTTTTTTATACAAATGGAAAGTAGTAGAAAGAGAGTAAAAAATATTGGAAGGAGAAGAGTTTGTATGGAGAATTGGTGTGGAAGTGAAAAATGTGAGTGGAGATAAACAAAAAAATTGGAAGGAGAAAAGTTTGTATGAAGAATTGGTGTGGAAAGTGAATAATGTGAGTAAAGAGTAAAAATATGGGATGGAGAAGAAATTGTATGAAGATTTTAGTGTGGAAAGTAAATAAAATGGTTAGGTATTTATAGAGAAAAAATACAGAATTTTTGGGTATTTTTAAAAAAAAATTTCAGATTTTTTTCGATTTTTTTTGCAATTTTTTTAGCCAAAAAAACGAGGACTGTCGGATTTCTGGAAAAAATCCATCCGAGAGTCCCCGTCGGAGCTGTCAGTGGCTGACGTCAGCGCTGGCGTCACGCTGACGCCAGCGCACGGAACTCAAATTTTTTTTACCATTGGCGCGTGTAATTCACACGCCAACAGTAAAAAAAATTTGACTTACCGTGCGCTGGCGTCAGCGTGACGCCAGCACTGACGTCAACCAACTCGAGTTTCAGCCCGGGCAAGACTTGCCCTTGGGCTTCCTTGGGCTCGTGGGACCCACCACCAAACCGAGCTACGGGCCCTGCGCTGGAGCTGCCTCGGGCTCCCTCTGGCAGCCTTTCCCCTGGGCTGGGCCTTGCGCTGGAGATGCTCTAAAGAGCAGCTCCACTGAGGAGCCCAAGCTCGAGGCTGGGGGGCAGCCAAGCGAAAAATCCAGTTTCAGCGGGCTACTTTTGCCCGGGCTGGCTGTGGGACCCACAAAGACGGGTCGGCCCGAAGGCAAGTCTCACCCGAACTGCAGCCTGAGGGGGAGATGACGTCAGCGCGCGGTAAAAAAAATTTGAACTCGTGTGCACTGACGTCATTCCTGTGCGTTTCCAATAGCTAGAAGACATGTGTCTTCGCCTGAGCGCTCTGATCTACTTCTCCTCCTCCAATCCAACTACTGGCCTTTTTTTGGCTATACAATTATGAAAAAAATTCAATTTTTTATAAATAAAAAAAACTAAAAAATTCTGAATTTTTTCCTATAAAAACCTATCAATACCCTTCACTTTCAACACCAATCCTCATACATTTTTTTCTACTTCTACTATTATCCACTCTTACTCAACATTTTATTCTCTTTCAAACTGTATTTTTATTTCTTATCCTTATGGCTTCTTTTATCGAAACCAGAGGGGCGTGGAGCACCATGGAAGATGTTTTATTGTCTGAGTCTTGACTCCAAATTAGTCATTGTCCTGTGTCAGGCAATGAGATGAAATTTTGTCATATGTGGAAAAAAAATCATGCCGAATTTTGTGAAAGAATTTTGAGGTCGACTCGTACGGAAATGGCATTGTCTAGTATGTGGAAAATTCTCAATAAAGAGTTGGCAAAATGGAGAGATGTCTTGGCAAAAGTGAGGGACAACCATAGAAGTGGGGAAAATCTTAGTAGCGAGGTAAATATTTTTTAATTTTCGTTTTATTAAGTTTAAATTCCTAATATATATATATATATTAATGTTTCTTGCATTTTCAATATTTTGTTAATATTTCTTGCATTTTCAATATTTTGTTAATATTTCTTGGATTTTCAATTTTTTCTTAATATTTCTTGCATAAATAATATTTTGTTAATATTTGTTGCATTTCCAATATATTTGTAAGGTTAATTGCATTTCCATTATTTCTTTTATGTTACTTGCATTTCCAATATATTTTAAATATTTCTCGCATTTTCAATTTTTTATTTTTTTTGGTTAATAGATTGTGCAAGCACAGATGTGGTTTGGTGCAATTGGGCAAGGCAAAAAAACTTTCAACCATCATGAATGTTGGGAGGTGGTGAAAAATTGCAAACGCTTCATAATTATTCCCATGGGTCCCCCCGTTATGTTAAACGAGACGTCACTCCATGATTCAATGATATCGGATTCACTTCTCGATTCCCCTATGAGTCAAGACTCACCCATCGAAAAGGAGCCGAGGCTCATTGGCCGAAAGGGTGCGAAGGTGAAGAAAGGGAGTAATTCTAGCACTAATACATCAAAAAATTTGGAGGAAATTGCAAGGCAGAGTGCCGTAAAAATTGAAATTGAGAAGAAACACCAAGAGAATGAGATGGCAATTTGAGCAGAATATGTACAAGAAAGACAGTATTTGGGCAGACAACACATTGAGAAGACAGATCGGGAAACCATGGTCATGGATACAAGCCATATGTCCCCTGAAACAAAACAATTTTGGAAGCTAGAACGAAGGGATGTTATGAGAAGAAGACTTTTCCGTGGCGATGAACCTAGCAACATGGATTGGTTAAATGATCAAAACCATTAAATTAGTTGGCATACCTTTTATTTATTTGTATTTTTCATGTTTTGTATTAAAGTTGTTGTAATTCATGTATTTTATTTTAGTAGTAGTAATTCTTAATAACTTGTATTGGCTTTCTTTATTTAATAAACAAAGCATTCAATAAAATACCTTTTTATTCAACATATTCCATACATCAAACATACAAAACATAATTAAAAGGAAAAACCACAACCAAAGCATAATAAATAAAAAATAAATAAAACTACAACCAAAGCACAATAATAAAAATAAACCAGAACCAAACCATAATATATAAAAAACAACACAACCAAACCATAACTAAATAAAACCTAACCAAAGCATCTATGCTTCATCATTCACCGTCATTGTGTTTCACCGCTCATATAGATGCTCCATCAAGTCAACTTGACGCCTTTCATGAATATAAGAAGATTGCATCTCTGTATATCGTTGCAGCATGCTCCATCTAGTCTACGGCTTCTCTCATTTGTTTCTCGCTCTTGCCTCTCCAAGCATCTAGAGGATGACAATCTTATCTGAAATTTTGAAATTTATTTGAAATTCATTCGAAATTTGAAATTTGAAATTTATCTGAAATTTGAACCCAAAAATCTTATCCGGAAATTTTATCCAATTATGAGATATGAACAGTCGTGACACGTAGGAATCCGAAAATATTATCCAAATTAATTATTGCGGTAAAAAAATTTGTGAAAAAAACAAAAAATGAATAGTAATTGCCCTTTGCCATAACAACGGGTAGAAATACACATTGCTTTTTACAAAGGGCAAATGGGTGGAGTTGCTCTAAATATCTCTCTCTCGTAAACTGGTCCATCAAATCATAATGACAAAACTAGTCCTGCACAATAGAAGGAATGGACATGCAAGTCCTGTGCATCTGACTACTAAAGCCAAGACCAGCAGCTAACCACCGAAACCAAGACTAAAACCAATATCGGCAAGTAGAAATGGTTGAAACACCTTTTGTCTTTTCTTGCATGTGACTTGTGCATTGAAATTGTAGATTTTGTTTGCTTATGTAAGTGTGTGCAGTGCAAGCGAATCTTCGTAGAAATATCAGAAGCTTTTTGTAGTGTAGAAAAGTTGATAAGAGGTACAAAAATCCAATCAATAATTAGGTCTAGTCCTCGAATTATTGTTTATTGATACAAGTTCATTTATTACTTTGCCACGTAGATTACATTCCATCTTTGACATGTTGATTCAAATTTTTGTATTTAACTGATTTGTATTTAAATTTTTTTGTTCCTATTGATAGGATTAAAAGCACACCACAAAGTAGCACACAAATAACCTATTGATTTTCCTTATTAACACTAAGATTCATCAATTGTAGCATATGAAAATAAGGGTCTTTCCCGCAGAAGATTGTCTTATCTAACTACTTGAAATGTCACAAAAACTGGGCTGCTGTTCCAACTGACCAGCCACCGAAGAAATAATTATTATCCCTACTTACACATATCGAAAGTCTATGAAATTTTATGCACAGATACTAGACACGCAGAGCTACACTCACACAAATTTTTGGGATTTTTAGAGTTGATTTGCTATATAAATTAAATCGGACAACAAAAGAACAGAAACAGATTTTGAAGAACAGATTATATTTCACAATTAAGAAAATGAGTTAGGGGAAGTGCTATCCACCACCAAATAGTCATGCAAACATGTTATGTTTCAATCAGATTCCTTTTATTTCCGGATGAAGATGCTCAAGTTGGCTCAATGTTAGAACTCAACCTATTACTCTTTCTTATGTAGTATGTTAAGAGAATGACGTTTTCAACTTAACTTAGTCCCTAGCATGCAATCTAGAATGGCGTGTTCATAGATTTAACAAGTAGAAATCATTAAGAACGAAAAGAGTTTGAGTCATCACAAGGCATCATAAGTACTGGCGTTGTCTTACTTATCCTAGAAATTGATTCACATGTTAAATGCAACTAACAAGTACTACTCTAGAACATATGTAGGTCCTCATTCAACAAGGGCAGGCATACACATATTCATAGCATTAAAATCCTAAATATGCTTACTAAGTATGCATCCGTAGAAAACACATAAAGAATTCATCAACGAGACAAGTAGTGAAGCAATTTTCATCCTTTCATGAAAGAAATTGAAACGAAATGTCATAACACATTTGCAATCATATATGGGGCTTCAAAACAGCCCCTAACTACTAAAAATTTAGTTACACATTATTCTTAAATTAAACCAAAAGAAAGACATGAGTTTGGGAAGGTAAAACCGAAAGAAGAGAATGCCAAGATTTCCTCCCTCCTCCAACGTTCCTGCCTTGCCTCTCTGTTTCTTTTTCCACAGATCGCTCTTTTTAAAACTTATTCCACTAATAGCTATTTATTGATGACAATAAGTGAGAGAAAATGGTAAAACAATTGTAACTCTTTGGGTGGCCTTTAAGCCAATTACTCCCACCTAATCCCCTTCTTTAATTCCATTTCCTCAGATATTTGAATAGGTTTCCGCTGGCTTGTTTTTGGCAACATCCGTTTTGGCTGTTATTATTGGGTTTATTGCTTTCATTGCAGTTACAAACTGCTTAGCCTCTTGTGAACCTTTCAGTGTTAAAACGGTCATTACTGCTTCTAGAAAAATGATATGAACAATCCACGAAATGCTCCAGAGAATAGACATCTGTAGCTTTCCAAGCATATATGGCACGTTCTCTAATTCATTCTGAGCTGTTCGCAACTTGCTTCCAAAGTCAACTCACCTGCACAGGCAGTTTTGACGAATTTGTGACTTAAAAGCCCACTTGTGCTATTTTTCTTTTCTTTGCTTGACAGATCCTACAAAACACAAAAACAGAGTAAATAGCTCAAAAATATAAGGAACTACCTAAGAAAAGACAAGTGAATTTGATGTAAAATATATATAAATATGAGCTTGTCACCTATTATATCCCTATTGTCTAAAATGAGTAAGATGAGAATTTATATGCCATTATTTTTATTTTTTTCACCCTATGGTAGAGGTATAGTATATACTCTTGTAAATAAATTATCCTATGGTGTAGGTATATTGTCATATTGCCCATTGCATAGGTAAATATTTGTTTTTTCATATTTTAGACAATGAATAATTGTATTTTATGTACATTTTTTTTTATAGGTAAAATACAATTTTATTTGTCTATTTTTGTATCTAACTTATTGGTAGTCTTCTAATTTATGTTCCTAACTTATAGGTAGTATTCTAAACTTTGAGTCATGAACGTAAATTAGAATGTACCTATAATTTATGTTACCAAACTTTGAGTCTCATTTTTCCACATACAATTGTCAAGGATGAGCACAAATACCATCTCATCGCATTAAATTTAGGGGTTCCTAGATGTAGGTCCAAAACGATTAGCTACCATTGGGTTTAGTCCACGCATTTTTGGTTTTAGATGTAGGTCCTTTGACTTTTATTACTCTTTTTATTGTGTCGATTTTACCCTTTGAGGTACATAAGGAAAACATTGAAAATCTAAATTTAATGAATTATTTGCTTGTAATTAAATTTCAGAATTTAAATTTGGAATTCTTTCATTGATAATATTTACCTAATATATGGGTAAAATACAAATGAATCAATTGAAGTAAAGGCCCACATATTATACTAATCAATTAGGCAAGCACCCACATTAAATTATGTACCTAACACTCAGGTAAATAGTGTTCTTATTAACAACGAAAAAAACTTAGTGATAAATTGTGTTACCTATAAGTCATGAACATAAATTAGAATACCTACACCATAGGCAATATGACAATATACCTACACCATAGGATAATTTATCTACAAGAGTATATACTATACCTCTACCATAGGGTGAACAAAAATAAAAATAATGGCATATAAATTCTCATCTTACTCATTTTAGACAATAGGGATATAATAGGAACAAAAAAATTTAAATACAAATCAGTTAAATACAAAAATTTGAATCAACGTGTCAAAGATAGAATGTAATCTACGTGGCAAACTAGTCAATGGACTTGCATCAATAAATAATAATTTGAGGACTAGACCCAATTATTAGTTGAATTTTTGGACTTCTATCAACTTTTCTATTAAATTTATATTGTCTTTATTAACATCACGAAATTTGGAAGTCAAGCGTAAGTAATACGGATCGCAGCTTCGATAGACTGGTCCGGCCCTACTCACCCACTATCTAGGCTTCAATTGTGTTATATATATCCACCACAAGTTATTAATTAAATATAAGATGAGGCCAAACAATTATATTTTGAAGTGTATGAAAGTGGATTTGAGACGTAAGGACTAATAGCTCAAGTCATTAAGAGTATTTATTATGTACTCGAGGTCTTAGATTTGATTAATTCTCCCTCCCTATTATTGCCTGTATAAAAGGAAAAGTAGGTTTGAGGCCATTGAATGACTATTGGGTTTAGCCATGATTAAACAAGGCAACCCTCATGAAATATAATGCAAATTAAGCACAAAAATGCATTAGAGAAAGATGGAAAAGATTAATTAGCAAACACTTGACCGAGGGATTGACTATTCTTAGTCGTTGCAGGCCAGTCTCTGATGCCTATAAATTAAAGAGCAAGAGGCAACATGGAAAGGCACACTTGCAATCCTTCTTAGAATATTTATCTTTTCCTTATTATCATGGCTAAATCCAATTCATCTAGAGGCCCTTCAATGATTTCCATAGTATTTCTACTTGGGCTGCTGATGGCTAGCTTTGAAACAACAGGTATGTATCTCTCGCACAAATGCACCCACACCCACACACAAACACCCCGCAGGCATGCATGCCTGATGCACGCACATATGTAGCGTATATGTGTGTGTGGTTGTTTATGAATCGAGAATTTCTCCAACAATAAGGATTTTTGTTAAGGATTAGTTGAGGAATTTTAATTTCAGCCATCCTTTAGATATATATATTAGTGAGTTACGTATTTTTGTTCATATGTACTATACATGCGATTCAATAGGTGAGATTAGAAGTCCATAACCTATGCTTAGCATAAAATCTTTCATTAATGGAGCTAAGCCCAAAGAACTTTACATTGGCTGAAACAATTCATACATTTTTTGAGCAACTGTTTAAAATGATCCGCATAGAAAATCGATCAAATTGGATATCATTTAGCAATTTGAATATATTCACGATCATTTTAGCGACAAATTATATTGTATAAATCTAGTGAAATTTTCTCCAAGATCATAAAACCTCATTATAATTTCCTCTTCAATATTGCAGGAGCCCAAATTGGTGTATGTTATGGAATGCTTGGAGATCGTTTACCCACCCCCCATCAGAAGTTATTGCTCTTTACAAGCAAAATAACATCGGAAGAATGCGACTGTATGATCCAAACCAGGCTGCTCTAGCAGCCCTTAGAGGCTCTAATATTGAGCTCATACTAGACGTTCCAAATGGCGACCTTCAAAGCCTTGCCTCAAGCCAAGCCAATGCAAATACTTGGGTCCAAAACAATGTGAGAAACTATGGCAATGTAAGATTCAAATACATTGCGGTAGGAAATGAAGTCAAGCCCTCAGACTCCTTTGCACAATTTGTTGTCCCAGCCATGCAAAACATTCAGAACGGAATTTCTAGTGCTGGTTTGGGAATTAAAGTCTCCACTGCCGTAGACACTGGAGTGCTTGGAAAGTCCTTTCCTCCATCGAACGGAGAGTTCAAGTCTGAATATGGAGCACTTTTGAACCCCATCATCCGCTTCCTAGTGAACAACAGATCGCCGTTGCTGGTTAATTTGTACCCTTATTTCAGCTACAGCAGCAACACTCGCGACATTCGTCTAGATTATGCTCTTTTCACAGCCCCATCAGTTGTCGTACAAGATGGCCAACTTGGCTATCGTAATCTTTTCGATGCCATTTTGGACGCTGTTTATGCCGCTCTTGAGAAGGCTGGCGGAGGGTCTTTGGAAATTGTCATATCCGAAAGTGGTTGGCCATCAGCTGGTGGAACGGCAACAACAATTGATAATGCAAGGACTTATAACGCAAATCTGATTCAACATGTGAAGGGAGGGACTCCAAGGAAGCCCGGAAGGGCCATAGAAACCTACATCTTTGCCATGTTTGATGAGAACAGAAAGAACCCTGAGTTGGAGAAACACTGGGGGCTGTTTTCACCAAGCAAACAGCCGAAATACCCAATCAATTTCAACTGAGTAGCTAGGCAAGTGTAGTTGTGGTTAGCAATCTAACCACCAATAAAACCGCAATAAATAGGCTGTCATGTATCGCATCACATGTACCCAAATAATGCTCACATACAGCAAATAATCTTATAAAATTACCGTAACTTAAAATATTATGTCTTTTCTTGGCAATATTGATGCATTACAAAAGCAACTTAAAATTTTAAAATATTTTAAAGATTATGTCAAGAAATTTCTTGGCAATATTATGTCTTTTCTTTTCTTTTTTTTATAAAATTACCGTAACTTAAAATATTATAATCTCATTATGTTAAGAGTCTGTTAAAGACAAATTGCAGATATAAGTTTAGTCAAGTTGGATTAGGGGATGTGCTCCCCACTTTGCCCCGAGTTCAAATCCTTCTTCCCATAATTTAGAATAAATTAAAGTAAAATATTGCTTGTATGAAAAAGACATTATTTAAGTTGAGATAGATGTCAGTGTCATTGTTATGACCCGGACTCGGGGGTTGGTGGAAATCCCGCACCCGGTGGGTGAAAAAAAACAAAAAACAAAAAATAAATAAATAGGAAGCTGAAACATGAGTTATAAATAAACTTCTTTTATAAAAATAGCTCCAAAAATCTTACAACTTTACAAGAAAAAAATAAAACTCTACTACTCTCATCTAATTCAGCCTCAATCGATTTAGTCCTCGTCTTGTCCACTAATTCATCTGAAAAGTTAAACAGGGTGAGGGATGAGCAATCACCGCTCAGTAGGGACATGAGACCTTATCACAGTAGATTGATATCACTAAATTAAGTGACATGCAATCTGTAAAACCCCATATTTTTAAATATGTATATTAATATTTCATAAAATTAATTATTTATAATTATTAGTTTTCAAAACTATATATATATATATATATTAGTTAGTTGTATGGTAAGCTACGTGAATCTAGCTATAGCCTATCAAACCTCATTGTATGACTTTAACTATAGCAATTCATTTAATATTTATTCTATACACACAAAAGCTTTTAGAAAGGTATTGGTGCTTACTAAGCTTTCTCTTAAGTGATGTGTTGCATTAGGGAGTCTTCAAAAACCAATTGAAGCATGAGGTGGTATGTTTTGGTATGAGGTGTAAGAACAATAGATATTCATGTATATATAAATGTAATTGTCAAGTGCTCACTAAGCACTCTCCAGAAGCCAACACCTAAGACTAAATGGGGTGGCAGTTTTACCTTCAAGCCACCCATGTAGTCTATAAATCCTAGGATGTAGTCTAGAGATCCCTAGGTTGGTTAGGTGGCATAATGCTAAGCTTCATCCATATTTCCTTTACCGACTCTAACCTACTATATATAGTTCTAACTAATAGTTATTGAATCATAAGTTCTTCAAGTTATAGTAGTTTCCTAAAAAAATCGTAGACAAAAGAAAATAAGAGAATTAAGTGCGGTGAGGTTTTGAAGAAGCTCAAAGTATTTGAACTTACAAGTGGGAATTATACAATAGCTTTGGATTTGAGGTAGGGGTTTTTCTTGGGGAAGTTTTGCATACATTGATTTAATTAAATATTGTAAATACTATATTATGCTTGGTAATATTATTTTGATTATTATTGTAAATCCTATATTAAGCTTGGTTATATTGTTTGATTGTTATCCTTGATATTGGACATATACGTGTTGTCAATTATCATTATAATTTGATTATTTTGACATATTCATATGTTGTCGGTGGTGGTTGGAATTTTTGGGTTGATAAAGAAATTATGGAAAAGAGGATAATGGGAAGAATCTTTTGTATAGTTGAGTCTAACCATTGTAGGGACCAAGTTCAGGCGAGCCTGTGTGCACAGTAGATTAGGAAATCGGCGGTATAATTGTCGATTGGGTGATTTGGGCTTGGAGATTAATGGTGTAGACAAGATGACTAGCAAAAGGGGAATTATGGGATGATTGAAATGGGTGTTAGTTTATATAATGGGGCATTCGGAATCACAGTGGTAAAATGCATGGTATGGGACATGTTGATTTGCTTGCCCTATTATATAGATTAACGGGTTGGGTAGAAATGAAGTTCATTCATGTATTGCATAAATTGTACATTATAAATCTCACTAATCACATAAGACATAGGACCCCTATTGAGCATGTAATGCTCACCCCTTATAGAATCTATTGCAGGCTTTGAAACTGAAGTTTAGTTTTTGTTGAGTAAACAAGAAGAACGAGTTGTGGATAGTTTTGAGTGTTTCGTTGAAAGTTTGTTACTTTATTGTTATTTTGCTTGTAATAGTACAATGTAAATTACTTTGACTTAAATAAAAGTTTATGTTCAATTTTCATGTTTCTTGATATTTAAATTTTCATGTACCATTATCTATATACAGATCGAGCTGCAGGCCATACAAGTTTTTTTGTTCCAAAATTACACCAATAACTAGATGTTTAAATACTTATAGCCAGACAATTATGTGCAAATTCATTAGCATTGTAGATCCAATGAGTCAGGTCAACAATGGAAAATGAAAACACAGAGTGAAGAAATACCCTGGAACATGATATATCCAAAAAAGAAGCCACAAATTTCCCCAATTCATTTTCTAAGACCAAATTCAACCTCATCATTATCCAAAATAAATAAATAAACATATAAAAAATAAAAATACAAAAAGCAAAATACAAAATAATAATAATAAGAGCAAAAAATAAATAGAAAATAAAAACGAGAGTACTACCTGTTGGAGGAGAAAGAAGAGAGATCTGGAGATGTAGAGAAGAAGTGAAAATCAAGAGAGGAGGCGCAGAGAATGAAGCTAGGATCATTGGAATTGCAAGGATCAGCTGTTATTCTGGACTCTGGTGCTGTCCGAAATCTTATTAAGGGCACCAAACATTGGATAGGACACTAGTCTACTTTAATTGACCCAGCAACCAAACAATGCCTTATTGTATAGATAGCAAACCATGGAGCCTTCTTTCACTATTTTGTTCTCTTCCTATGGTTTCAATATTTGTCTCTTATAGAAGAAAGCCAAAAAGAAAAGAAAGATACTCTTCTTATGAAAAGAAGGCTAGGATTCTAAGTGCCAGGTTAGGAACTTCTGAAAAGGAGGTACATGATTCATCTTTCTGTACTATCAATTGAACTTCAAAGTCACTCAGATGTCACGCAATAAAACAAAAACAAGTGAACAAATAATGATCTAGGTCTACACAGGTCTCTTCGTATACCCATTTTGCAACAACAATGCAAAAAATAAAATTTCAGTGTCATTAAATTACTTTGATACTCCATAACAGGTCAACAGAAGTAAGAAGAATCAGTTTTGGTTGCAACTTGTAATGAAACTTCTTGTGTTTTAGTCTAATTCTGTTGTTCATGAGTTTAAAAAGCCAAAAATGAATAAGAGATGGCTACTTTTTTTCCCCTCTTATTAATTTCCAGGTAAAAGAGTCGAACAAAAATTCCTGAAGAATAGTGGAATGTTGATGCAGGTATCTGCTGAATAAATTATCATGAACTTCAAAAAATGGTAGAGGACGGTTGGTAATCTTTATCCTTCATATGCTTAATTAGCCTTCGGATCTCATGACGTATATTTTCAATTTGTGGATGCATCTCATCACCAACAACAAATACATGAACCTGACTCTTCACCTCAATCCAGCTACACCCAGGTTCTTTGCTCACCCCTCTAAGTTTCATCAGACTCCTTACCCGCTCAACATCTTTACTCCTGCCCAAGGCAGTATATATGCTTGACAACAACACATAAGCTGATGATTCCTGAGAGCCTAACTCCATTAACTTCTCTCCAACATAGGCTCCCAATTCGTAATTACGATAGTTCCGACAAGCACTTAATAGAATACGCCATGAACACATACCATGATCAATAGTGGCTGATTCTATAAACTCTTTGGCTTCATCTAACTTCCCAGCACGGCTCAATACATCAACCATGCAAGCATAATGGTCCACCCTTGGGCCTATGCCAAATTCATTAGACATCATGTTGAAATAAATCCAACCCCTCTCTACTAATCCCATATGGCTGCAAGCAGAGAGAATATTCACAAATGTAATGTAGTCCGGCTTTACGCCCTCCAATCGCATCTCCTCAAAGAGCTCTAGAGCCTCTGTACCCCTCCCATTTTGTGAAAGCCCAGATATCATTGCATTCCAAGATACTGTATCCCTCATTGGCATCCTCCTAAATACCAGATTCCCATCTTCCAAATTCCCACACTTTGCATACATGTTTGAAAGAGCACTTCCAATTGGAACTTCAAGACTGAATCCATACTTGATGGTACTTGCGTGGATTTGCCTTCCTTGTTCAAAAGCACTTAGACTCGAACATGCTTTTAGGACACTAGCCATAGTTAGTTCATTGGGCATCATTCCTTCCCTCTGCATTCTGCAATACAAAGTCAAAGAAGCTTCATTCTCTCCATTTTGCGCATACCCTCCAATCATAGAAGTCCAAAGAACAATATCAGGTTCTCTTAAATAATCAAACCCCTTACGAGCATCACTGACATTACCACATTTGGCATACATGTCAACCAAAGCTGTCATTATATATATTTGGAATTCGAAGCCCAACTTTAATGAATAGCTATGCATTTGCTTTCCTTCTTCAAGAGCACCAATGTCGCTACAAGCATTGATGACTCCAACAAATGTAAACTCACTTGGCATAACCCCAGAAAAATGCATATGTGAAAACAAGTCCAAAGCCTTTTGAGAATCCCCACTTTGTGCAAAACCAGTTATCATGGCAGACCATGTGATAGAATTCTTATCACCAGACGTTTTGAAAGTTCTAAGTGCATCATCCAAGCTCCCACATTTTGCATACATGGTTACAAGCGCATTTTCAACAGAAACGAAAGATATCAACCCAATTTTCACTGCAAGAGAATGAATTTGCTTACCAGTACCAACAAACTCAGGAAGCGCCAAGGCACTAAGAACACCGGTCAAAACAAATTCATTCACCTCTTCCTTCACCTCATTTCTACGCTGCATCAATCCAAAAAGTGCCAGTGCATCTCCCGCCAGCCGTTGCACAGCATACCCAGATATCATAGTAGCCCACGAAACTGAATTCCTCTCAAGCATTCTATCAAACACCTTACGAGCATCCAATACAAGACCCCGCTTTACAATACATATTGAGCAGAGAACTCCCGACAAACACATCATAAAAGCTGTCAGCTTTTATTGCAAGTGCATGAGCTTGCCGGCCGCCAAAGACGTCCGGCGACGCATACGAAGCTGCGGTGAAAACTCCAACAAAAGTGTGCGCATTTGGGAAGGCGTTCTCAGCCCGCATGCGTTGAAAAAGCGCCATGACATGGGAGGAGCCGTTTTGTCCTTGCTGAGAGTAGCCATTGATGAGAGAGTTCCATGAGACGACGTCCTTGTCGGGTATAGCCTCGAAGACGAGCTTGGCTTTGGGCAAGTCTCCGCATTTGGCATAGAGGATGACGAGGCTGTTGGCAATGTAGACGCAGGAGTTGGGACCGGTTTTGATGATCTGAGCGTGGAGAGCTTTGCCCTTTTGGAGGTCCTTTTGACGACTGTATTGGATGAGTGTGGTGAACAAGGAACGGTACTGAGATGGAAGCGAAGAAAGACTCATCAACACACACAGCTATAATCAAATGCCGTCCCTCTTCTTTTTCTAGTTCTGTTTCTCTCTCTCTCTCACTCACTCTTGCTAAAATATGAGAACTATGATAGAATATTTGTTTGTGGGAATTTTCTGTGTATTCTTCTCCTTGTAAGAGGTCATATTTATAATACAACAAAACCTGAATGGGCAAGTAAATAATAGATTCCTAAATCTATTTACAGTAGGAAATCAGGAATTAAAGTAAATCAATTACAATTATAATAGGAATCCTTGGTGTGTAAGGAAAGTAAGTCAATATCCACAAATCACGCCAACACTCCCCCTCACGTTGGTGCATAGATGTCGCCAATGCCCAACTGATCCAGTGAATTGTGGAATGCTTTACTGGAAATCGCCTTTGTCAAAATATCCGCCAATTGATCCTCGGATTTCACAAAAGGAAACTGAAACACTTTAGCCTCAAGCTTCTGTTTGATGAAGTGTCGATCCACCTCAACATGTTTAGTACGATCATGCTGAACTGGATTCTGTGCAATGGCTATAGCAGCCTTGTTGTCACAAAAGAGATTCATTGTGGATGTAGGTTTATACCCAAGTTCAATAAGCAACTTTCTTAACCAAAGAAGTTCACAAATCCCTTTAGTCATACCTCTGAACTCGGTTTCTGCACTGGATAAAGCTACTACATTCTGTTTCTTGCTTCTCCATGTCACCAAATTACCTCCCACGAATGTGAAGTAACCCGATGTGGATTTTCTATCTGTTACATTACCTGCCCAATCTGCATCTGAATAACCATCAATATTTAGATGACCATGCTTTGAGAACATAAGTCCTTTTCCAGGTGCAGACTTCAAATATCTAAGTATCCGAAGAACTGCATTCATGTGGTCTTCACTTGGAGAGTGCATAAATTGACTGACAACGCTCACCGCATAAGCAATGTCTGGTCGAGTATGTGACAAATAGATCAATCTTCCCACTAACCTTTGGTATCTTTCTTTGTTAGTTGGAACTTGATCAGGATATTCTCCAAGATGATGATTTTGAATAATAGGAGTGTCCGCAGGTTTGCAATCTAGCATTCCTGTGTCTGTCAACAAGTCCAAGACATATTTCCTTTGAGATAGAAATATGCCTTGCTGCGATCGAGCAACCTCAATTCCCAAGAAATACTTGAGTCCACCTAGATCCTTCATCTCAAACTCAGTAGCCAAATAGTCTTGTAGCTGTGATATTTCCTGTTTATCATTCCCAGTAATAATCATATCATCAACATAGATTATTAATGCTGTTACCTTCCCTTTCCGATGTTTCAAGAACAGAGTATGATCTGAGTTGCACTGTTTGAAACCATTATTCTTCATTGCCATGGTGAACCGTCCAAACCATGCACGTGGTGACTGTTTCAATCCATACAATGCTTTTCGTAACCTGCAAACTGTTCCAGTCTGAGTAGTATTATATCCAGGAGGAATGTCCATGTACACCTCCTCCGCGAGTTCGCCATGTAGAAAAGCATTCTTTACATCAAACTGGTGTAATGGCCAATCCAAATTAGCTGCAAGGGACAATAAGACTCTGACGGTATTTAACTTTGCAACTGGTGCAAAGGTTTCTTCATAGTCTATACCATAGGTCTGTGTGTACCCTTTTGCCACAAGTCTTGCCTTGTATCGCTCGATAGATCCATCTGCATTGTGTTTTATAGTAAACACCCACCTACATCCGATAGTCTTTTTTCCTCGTGGTATAGTCTGTAATGTCCAAGTCTGATTTTTCTCAAGAGCTCTCATCTCCTCTTTTATAGCTTGGACCCACTTAGGATCTTTCAATGCTTCAGAGACCTTGGTTGGAATCTGGATAGCAGACAACTGATGCACAAAAGCCTTGAGTGGTTCAGACAGCTTCTCAGTGGATACATGATTTGCAATTGGATACTTGGATGCCTTGTCAATATCAGGTGAATAACGGTTTGGTGGCTTCCCACGATTTTGCCTGAAAGGTAATTGATATCTAATAGTTTTATCCTCTAAATGCACAAGTCTAGTAGGAGTATTTACCTCAAAGATATTCTCAGGAGATTGGTCCGTTGGTACTGTTGAGTGAGAGGGGGGGTCTTCATCTTGTTGTTCTGAGTTGTCTGTAGGAGTATGACTCGAATCAAAAACAGTTTTGCAAGGGGTAGGCGATTGATCGTTGTTTGGCAGAGGGCATTCGAACGTGCCAGACTCGGGACGATCGATTGTTATTGTTTCTTGGCCAAGAGCAATCTTTGTGCATAGATGAATATCTTCGTTTTCCAAGCTGCTCCAATTGAGCTCTTCACTCGGTATCTCCCCATGAAGAGAAGAATTGGATGCTGGGTCATAGAAAAACATCTCCGATTCTAGAAAAGTGACATCCAAAGTGACATAGGTTCGCCGGGTCTGAGGGTGATAACATCGGTAGCCTTTCTGATGAGTGGCATAACCCAAAAAAACACAACGAAGCGCACATGGATCAAGTTTGCTTCGTTGATTTTTGTGGAGATGAACGAAGGCCACACAGCCAAAAATGCGAGGGGTAAGCACCAAAACAGAGGGTAGAGGCCCATGTTGTGCCAGCACTTGTAATGGAGTTTTGAAGTTCAAGACCCCAGATGGCATGCGGTTGATAAGGTGGACAGCAGTGATGACAACATCATCCCAGTGATGACGAGGAACATGGCCACCAATGAGAAGAGCACGGGCGGTTTCAAGGAGATGACGATTCTTCCGTTCGGCAACACCATTTTGTTGTGGTGTCTGGGGACAAGTTGTCTCATGAATAATGTCATGTGTCTGGAAGTAAGTCTGAAAAACATGATTGACAAATTCTCCACCGTTGTCAGAGCGAAGAATCTGTATTCGAGCATTGAACTGTGTTTCCATCTGTTTGTGAAAGGATTGAAACAGGGAAAACACTTCATTCTTATTTTTCATCAAATAAAACCATGTCATCCGTGTACAATCATCTACGAATGTGACAAACCAACGAATACCAGAATGAGTAGAAATAGGTGAGGGTCCCCAAACATTAGAATGAATTAAAGCAAAAGGAATATTACTTTTATTCATACTTAAAGGATAGGATGCTCTGTGACTCTTGGCTAAAATGCAAGTGTCACATTTAAAATCTGAGTCTTTAAATACAGAAAACAACTCGGGCAATAAGTGTCTCATATAACCAAAAGATGGATGCCCCAAACGTCGGTGCCAGAGCCAAATCTGTCTGTGCTTGTCATCAGACGGATGCTTTACACTATTGGCACGTCCCATACTGAAGTCCTCCACATAGTACAACCCCCCTCTTTTAGTACCACGCCCAATGATCTCCTTGGTGAGAATATCCTGTAGCAAACAAAAATTTGGATAAATTAGTGCACAACAATTGAGTTGTTCAGTTGCCTGGCTCACAGACAGTAATTTATTGGACAAAGATGGAACGAGGAGAGTATTAGAAAGGGACAGAGAAGGTGAAAAGGGCGACAGTGCCGGCCCCTGTTACAGGATAGGTAACTCCATTTGCATTGGCAATACTTGTGCGGCGGGGTGTAGTGGTGTGCAAAAAATCATTCGGATCAAAGGTCATATGATCAGTGGCGCCAGAATCAATTATCCAACCAGTAGTATCTCGTATATCAGAAGTATGAAATGCATAACCGCAGTTACCTGAGACATCCGGAAGCGCAGGACTATCAGTAGGGTCTACCTGCGGGAACAAGGCTAATTGGGGTTCGGTAGAGACAAGAGCAGCACGGCCGGAATTACTAGCAGTTTCTCTGAGCTTGCGAGCGCGGAGGTCCTCCCACCAATCAGGATAACCATTCAGCTTAAAACAGGTGTCACGGGTATGTTTGGGATTGCCACAGTGCGTGCAACCACTTCCATCAGTCGGAGCCTTGGGACGGGAAGGTGGGATAGTTTTAGGAGGTGGCGCACCAGCAGCAGTAGCATATGATTGGATCTGAAGGTGGGCTGGAGTAGAGGAATTATGGGGCTGTCCGGCACGAGTAGGGGGACCTGATCGAGGCGCACTCTTCGCCGCTAAGCCAGCGCCAGTGGGTGCAGATGAACCCATCATCACTGCTTGTCGAACATCTTCACGGCGAACATAGGCATAAGCTTGGTCCACAGTAGGGAATGGAGTCATGTGAAGAACATCACTTCGGGCCTTATCAAGACGATCATCAAGGCCATCCAGAAATATGTAAACTCGATCTTCCTGTAGAATATCATTATACCGCTTGATATCATTTTCATACTCCATCATATTTGGACGACGGAAATCAATTTCTCTCCATAAGCTTTGGAGAGTATTGTAATAGGTTTCAATAGAGCCGTCAGCTTGTCGCATACGGGAGACTCGTCGTTTCAGATCATAAACCTGAGAGGTGTCAGTGCCATCATAGTAAGTTGTGGCAATTGCATCCCACACTGCTTTTGCCGTCGGAAAACGAATGAAATTGCCAATCAAGCTCTGCTCTAGAGAATTGATGAGCCATCCCTTTACAATAGAGTTCTCGGTGCGCCAGCGAGGAAACGTTGGAGCGGTCAAAAGAGGTTGTGGAAGATCACCATTAATATATCCCAATTTGTCTTTGCCGGAGATATACAACTCTACAACTTGGGACCATAGGGCATAGTTGGTGCCATCCAACTTTATGCCAATCTGTGCAGCGGAAGCTTCATAGGTAATCGTCGTCGGAATCGTTGTCTGATTCGGGTTCAAGGTCGTCGTCTGATTCGAGGTCGGGGTCGTCGTCTGAGTCGAGGTCGGGGTCGTCTTGGTAGGATCCTGGGTTAGGATCAAGTTCGAGGTCTGAGTTTGCATCTGCATTAGTTGAGCCACCTGGGCACTCAACTCGGCTATGGTTGGTTGAGAAGGAAAGGAGGAAGCAGTGGTGCTACCGCCATGAGGGTTAGAAGAGTCATCCTCCCCCATGGTAGCGGCTAGGGTTTAGAAACTAGAGTCAGCAATCCCAAGATCGCCGCTCTGATACCATGCTAAAATATGAGAACTATGATAGAATATTTGTTTGTAGGAATTTTCTGTGTATTCTTCTCCTTGTAGGAGGTCATATTTATAATACAACAAAACCTGAATGGGCAAGTAAATAATAGATTCCTAAATCTATTTACAGTAGGAAATCAGGAATTAAAGTAAATCAATTACAATTATAATAGGAATCCTTGGTGTGTAAGGAAAGTAAGTCAATATCCACAAATCATGCCAACAACTCTCTCTTCCCATAATTGAACACAGAGAGCAACTTCTTCAAACACTTAGCATAATGGCGCAAACCCCATTCTTATGTTTGCTAAATTATGCGGCCCCTCTCCTCAAAGTTGGCAATTTTGACAACCATAAACAAATAACTGGAACAGCTCACACAAGGTTACCAAAAAAATATATATTGGATATGCAAGTAACATAAAAAAAAATAAAAATGGAATGCAATTAATCTTACAAATATATTGGAAATGCAACAAATATTAACAAAATATTATTTATGCAAGAAATATTAAAAAACAATTGGAAATGCAAGAAATATTAACAAAATATTGAAAATGCAAGAAACATTAAAATATATATATATATATATATATATATTAGGACATTATACTTAAGAAAACGAAAATTACAAAATATTTACCTCGCTACTGAGATTTTCCCCGCTTCTATGGTTGTTCCTCACTTTTGCCAAGGCATCTCTCCATTTTCGCAACTCTTTATTGAGAATTTTCCACCTCCTAGACAATGTCATTTCAGTACGAGTCGACCCCGGAATTCTTTCACAAAATTCGGCATGAATTTTTTTCCACATATGACAAAATTTCATCTCATTGGCTGACATGGGACAATGACTAATTTGGACCCAACACTCAAACAAGAAAACATCTTCCATGGTGCTCCACGCCCCTCCGGTTTCGATAGAAGAAGCCATAAAGATAAGAAATAAAAATACAATTTGAAAGAGATGATAATGTTGAGTAAAGAGTGAATAATAATAGAAATAGAAGAAAATGTATGAGGATTGGTGTTGAAAGTGAAGGGTATTGATAGGTATTATAGAAAAAAAAATTCAAATTTTTTTGGTTTTTTTTTTTTTTTTTTTTTTTTTTTTTTTTTTTTAAATTCGATTTTTTCATTTTTTTATTTTTGCCAAAAAGAGGCTAGCCGTTGGATTGGAGGAGGAGAAGCATATTGAAGCGTCCAGGCTGCGACACATGTCTTCTAGCCATTGGAAATGTGCAGGGCTGACGTCAACGCACGTGAGTTCAAAAAATTGAACCGCGCTATGGCGTCATCCTCCCCTCGGGCTTGAGCTCGAGCGAAACCTGCCTTCAGGCCAGCCCGTCTTCGTTGGGTCCCACAGCCAGCCCAGGTAAGAGTGGCCCGCTGGAACTGGGTTTTTTCGCGCAGCCCCCTTGCATCGAGCTTGGGCTCCTCAGTGGAATAGCTCTAAGGGGGTGGGTGTATTGAATTAGAATTTTAGAGAGTTTAAAAAGATTTTTAAAATTCGGGTGTATTCAATTTGGATTCATATGAATTTTAAAAGAGTTTCTACAAGACTAATTTCCCTCAAAGACCTGGCCCAATTTCATGTAGAATTCACAAAATCAAACCAAGAAATTTCTAGGTTTTTCAAGAGTCAAAATCGTTCGTTCGAGGGCTTTAACGGTGCAATTGATCTTTGAGCAAAGGTATAAAGTTACTCCCCTTGATGTACTTGATCTATAGGTATGAATATTGACCTGCAGATTGGAGTTTTCTGACTGTTCAATTCGGACCAAACTTGTAGGGCATATTCAGTAAAGTGTGTTGAACCTATAGGAACTCTCGGATTGGTAATCGGCGGTCGTGGACCTCATGGGGCACCGAGTTGACCATTATGGGAAATTAATCGCTTATTGAGGCCGGGGGTTAAGGTTTTGAGTTTTTTCAGACCATTCCAGCTGTCAGAAATATTGAAAATGGGCATAGGAACCTTCTTAAGTTACGTACACGCACTTTTGAGGCCGGGGGGTTAAGGTTTTGATTAAATATTTGTGCTTGAGCTATTTTATTAATTAAATATTTTTAATTGCTTAAATAGGTACTCCGACTTTATTGAACCTGCAGGAAGGACCCTCAAAGGGTCAAGCTAACTCGGACGCACAGTGAGTAGAATTTTGTTTTATAAATGAATTTTATGCAGTAAAAGTTTTATTATTTCTCTGGAATGAATTATTTATGGTTTTGCTTTCCAAGCAATTAGTTTGAATCCAAATTTTTTTAATAAATTCTGTTTATGTTTAAACGTGAATGGCTTGGAATTATAATTTTTCCAAAAAAAGTTTTTAAACCACCATAGGTACCCAAAATGTTGCCTTCAGATAATATGTTGCCTTTGGATAAATTGTTGCCTTCAGTTATAATGATGTCCACAGACATTCTAGTTGCCTTTGGTTGAGTCAGCGCGCGTTTGACAGTTACCCCACGAGTCTTAGGGATATTCGGACCGTGAGGAGTGAGGACTGCGGCTTAGGTTGACCAAGTGTCTCCTGAGTCTTGCGAGGAATGCGGCTTAGGTTGACTTTGTGTCACCGAGGCTTGTAAGGATGTGTCGCATTATGTGACATAATGAATTGACGGTATAATGTGGGGAATAAATATAAAAATCATGGAATTGACAGATATATGATGGGTACACCTAGGTGGAAAGGAATTATTTCTTTACAATGCTTTCAAAAGGTTTTGATGATTTGATTGAATGCATGATCAGTTATACGTATATAAATATGCATGTCTTAATTCTTGTATGAATATAGAACATGGATATAATTGAATTTTCAAATGGTTTTAACAGTGTGGTTAGTATGTTGATATTATATTTTCCAAAACTTTATTTTGTCCACTCACACTTTTAAATGTTTTGCGCCCCCATGTAGTAGTCGTGTACCAGAGCACCACAACAGGGTGATCATCACTCATCACTCCTCCTTTTCCTCTTTGTAGGATGTTCTCGTGTACTGTTATACTTTTGTAATTTACTGAATTAGCTTGCTTTGAAATTACCCTAGGATTTCTGTAAGGCCTGAGGCCAAAGATTTGTTGTTTGGTTCCATGAATTCTAACATTGTGCATGATGAATGGTACATGTGGATATTTGAATTGCGTGTTGTACAGGTAAAAAAGTTTGGGAACGAGCAATTTACAGGGTGACTTTGCTGAATTTTTTGCAGAAGTCAAACCCTAAAGAAATTTTTGAATTTTAGTTAGAATGGCAATTTGGTCAAGTGTGCTCGACACCTACCAAATGTCGGACACGCACAGGGTTTGGCTCATATTCCAAAATAGAATTTGAGTCGAGTCCTGTCATATTTAATTTAATTGAAACCCAATTCATATTTATTTTGATTATATTGTGAGTTTTTATTTTCATTATTTTGTATATGTATAATATATTTAATTTAATTGAAATCCAATTCATATTTATTTTGATTATATTGATGGTTTGTTTATATTGTGAGTATTTATTTTGATTATTTTGTATATGTAGAATTATTATGGAATGATTTTTAAGAGAAAGTCATCATCGAGTTCGGGTAGTTCAGATAATGTTGATAGTTCAAATAATGTGGGTAGTTCAAGAACTCAAGTTCAAGACAAAGTCAGTTAGACGGTGTTTTGGGTAATCTTCAAGTGGACCCTGGATTAAGAACTTGAATGATAGATTATGATGCTAATATGAGAGATGAGGTCCGAAGATCATATCTACAAAAGAGACATTGTCAACCTAGAGGTCATAATTTCCCACAAACTAATTTTTCATAAATTAATCAACGCTTCATTCCTTAATGTTTTGATGAGTTTGATTGGTTTGATTATAGCATATCTAAAGATGCGGCATTTTGTCTTTATTGCTATTTCTTTAAAACCAATTTTGAACAAGTAGGTAGTGAAGCTTCCACTGGAGATGGATTTAAGAATTGGAAGAAATGGGGATAAAGATTTAATATGCATGTTGGACCGGTTGGGAGTGTTCATAATAAAGTTAGAGAAACTGCTATAAATTTGATAAATCAAAATACGCATATTGAAACGGCAGTAAGCAAACACTTCGACCAAGCTTGTAAGGCTTTTCGCACATGTTTGAATGCATCAATCAAGTGCACTAAGTTTTATTGCAACAAGGTCTTACTTTTCATGGCCATGATGAAAGTGCCACTTCAAGCAATATGAGAAATTACTTGGAGCTATTGCAATTCCTTGAAGATAATGATGATAAAGTTAGAGAAGTTGTGATGGAAAATGCTTCGGGGAATCTCAAATTAGTAGCTCCTTGCATTCAAAGAGATTTTGTGAGTTCATGTGCCCTTAAAACACTTGATGCTATCATGGATGGTCTAAAAGATATATTCTTTTCAATATTGGTGGATGAAGCACGTGATGTGTCAATGAAAGAGCAAATGGTTATGGTGTTGCGTTATGTGGATGACAAGTGACATGTAATTGAAAGATTTGTGGGTATCCAACATGTTACTGACACTACTTCAAGTTCACTAAAGGATGCTATTAACTCATTCTTTTCTTGCAATGGTTTGAGCCTTTCCAATCTACTAGGATAAGGTTATAATGGTGCTAGCAATATGAGAGGTAAGTTGAATGGCCTTAAAACAAAGATATTGAGAGAATAACCTTGTGCATATTATGTTCATTGCTTTGTTCATCAAGTTTAACTAGCTCTTGTTGCCGTGGCAAAGAAAAATATAGACACTGCCTCTTTTTTGCAATGGCTAATAGTATGGTTAATCATGTTGGAGCATTTTGTAAGCGGTGTGATTTACTTAGAGGGCAACTCCAAAAAGAGCTTGTGATAGCTTTTGAAAATGATTGTCTTATAACGAAGCGAGGCTTAAATCAAGAAACAAATCTCAAACGTGCCGGTGACACACGATGGAACTCACACTATGTGGTATCTTGATTAGCATCAATTCTATGTTTTCATCTGTGGTTCATGTGCTTCAAATGGTTATTGATGATAATCTCAATGGCAGTGCAAGTGAAGCAAATAAGTTAATGAGAGAAATACGTACTTTTGAGTTTGTGTTTCACCTTTTCTTGATGAAATTCATATTCGGACTCACAAATTATGTGTCACAAGCATTGCAAAGGAAATATCAAGAAATTGTGAATGCAATGACTTTAGTGAAATCATGCAAGGAAAAACTACATTGGATGAGGAATAATGGGTTCGATGCATTGGTTAATGAAGTATCTTCTTTTTGTGAGGAACATCATATTGATGTTCCTAACATGAAAGAGGCACTTATACTTTTAGGGAGGTCAAGGTGTAATGCTCCAGTAAAGACAAATCGTCATCATTATCGTGTGGAGCTCTTTATTTATGTCATTGATAAGCAAATTACGGAGTTAGATGATCGGTTTAATGAGATAAATACCGAGTTGCTTATTTGTTTGGCATGTTTGAGAAAGATTCATTTGTAGCTTTTGATAAACCAAAGTTACTACGTCTTGCTCAATTTTATTCTCAAGAATTTTCGGATGCGGATCGTTTGGCACTTGAAGATAAACTTGAGATTTATATTCATTATGTGTGTTCGAGTAGTGATTTCTCTCAATTGGAAGGGATTGATGATCTTGCAAATAAAATTATGGAGATAATGATGCATCAAGTATTCAATTATGTGCGTCCGCTTATAACATTGTCTTTAGTTTTACCGATTACAACTGCTTCATTGAAGATGGCATTTTCCGTTATGAATATTATTAAGGGGCCACTTCAGAACAAAATGGGAGATCAATGGTTGAGTGATAGCTTGATTGTTTATATTGAGAGAGATATTTTTGCTTGTATTGAAAATGAAGCTATAGTGCTACGTTTTCAAAATATGAAACCTCGTCGTGGACAATTGTAGCTTGTAATGTTGTTTTTGTTATGAATTATGAATGAAAGTACTATGATTTCAGTTTCAATATTTTCTATCCTAAATTCTTACTGGGACTTTTACACTAAGACCCCTTGTGGTAAGATTCCTGGCTCCGCCACTACTTTTGATGATACACTTTTGGACTGGTTTAAGGATTTGAATAGGTCAGTTACCAACAAATACAGACTTTTATTTGTGGCCAACCTCTCTGTGGAAAGCCCTTAACCAACCTCCTCCTAATATGTTTCACAGCTATAACAGCATCATATTGCAATTTGTTATTTATGAATAGTTGCACTTATATATTGGTGATTTCATACATAACATATTGCAATATGATGATGTCATAGCTGTAGAGCATATTAGGAGGAGGATTGGTTAAGGGTTTCCCACAGAGAGGTTGACCACAGATAGAAGTCCGTATTTGTTGGTAACTAACCTATTCAAATCCTTAAACCAATCCAAAAGTGTACCCTCAAAAGGGGTAGTGTATACCACCTAATGCATTGAATCAAAATAAGGTGAATTCTCAAAAACCGTCAATACATATGGACTCGATAAAGATGTAGCTATGTTGATCCAATATGTAGTAAACTCATTTTGTTGGTATATATGATAGACAGCTCGATTGCGACCGAAGTAACCCCAATACATTATCCCCCCACTGTTTAGAACCTCCAATAACCAGGTCATTAAATATCATCCCTGAATGAGGGAAAACACAAATAACATTAATATTTAAAAGAATGTATAACTACAATACAAAAGAATTCAACTCAACATAAAAGTTAATGGAATAATACTCACAAACAAATAAAGAAAAAAAAATACACAAAGAACAAAGACGACAATAATGATTACAAAGGAAAACAAAGTTCAACATATATTTACCCATATGCAAAGCTCATGAATGCAAAGAGAGAACTTAACCAAGAGCAACAAACTTTTAAGTGTTAATATACTAAACATAAGAAAAGTAATCAGACTAAAAGGCGATGCTCCCAAATATATATTAAGTCATTCTCATTAGAGAAAGTGACTTTAAACCAGTCGTTTCCTAAGCTATCTATTTTGAAGGGTTTGGTACGCATAGCCTAAACCACTTCAAATTTGGCTCTAATGTTAATAGCTAATGAAAGGGGCTCTCCAAAGAATGTACCCGCTAGACAAAACTTTGCAAATTGCTCAGCTGCTGGATATAGCAAATATAGTCAACAATGTTTGTCACTAAAAAATGCATGGGCTCTCAATTTAAAAACAAAATAATATTCTTGAATGAACCAAAAAAGAAAAGAAAAAAGACTAGTGCATCTTTTTGTTGAATTATAACTTTTTTATTGTAGGATATAAAATAACTAGGAGAAATGAACTAAAAAATGATAACCATGATAATTAAGGTGTTAGATGCCACAATAAGATTCACACAAATCCAAAAACAAACTCATATGTAGGGTTCTTGATAATTAAGGTGTAACCCCATTATGTAATATTTATACATGACTTGAAGAAAAACAAAGCATAAAGGATCAATAGTGTAACAAAACGAGTAAGAGTAAACAACTAACAGTAAGAATCTAACAAATAAAACCAAAGACCAGAACAATATACAAGGTAAGTTAATAGCATCCACAATGGGAGGGTGTATAAGGGGGTGTATGTTAAATATACACCCCTTGTTATCGGAATCATCCCCAATGGGGAGATGTAGAGAGTTGTAAACATACATCACCACCATGGAGATGTAAACTAAAATGCACATTTGCATTTATTTTTACATCTTTTGCAGGCGAGACCCACCCGAATGATAAATGAAGAAAAGGGGATGTAAAAGTGGCTTTACATCATTTCCCATTAGAGCAAAAAACGTATTTACACCCTCCGGAGGTGTAAAAGGGATGTAAAAGTGGTTTTATACCCCCGAAAATACACCCCCCACTGCGGATGGAAAGGTGTAATTTTAGGGGTGTAAAGCCACTTTTACATCCCCCTTACACCTCCGAGGGATGTAAACGTGATTTTTGCTCCACTTTTTTTCACCTTTTCTCATGTAGGTCCCACTTGTAAGAGATATAAAAAAAGATGTATATGTACATCTAAATTTGCATCTCATGGTGGTGATGCAAATTTACACTCGTTTACACCTCTCCATTGTGGGTGATTCTGATCACAAAAGGTGTATATTTAGCATACACCTCATTATATACCCTCCCACTATGGATGCTCTAACAATCCACAATTTTAGGTATAAAAAAATATATATAATTGGAAAGTTTTCGATGTATAATAAAATTAAAACAAACTGAAACACAAACTTAAAAAAAAACTAAAATTCACTCTAAATTTTCCTAAAGCAACGTCAAATTTAACAAATTCAACCTCCACCCCATTAACGCAACAATGTATAATCTGCTAATTCAAGCAATGTACAACCCACAAATTTATCTTTTTGTACAAAATTTAATACTAAATAAAGATTATTAAAGCCATTATCAACAGTAGAAACTGAGTTCCAATGAAACAAAAGAAGGATTATTAAAGCTTAAATATGAAAACCTATATACATTTATGTGCTAAACCTTAAAACTTACCTCATAATGGGGTGGTAACCAGCGAGACTGCTCACAAGCTCAGCGCAAAACAAGAGAACCGAGTGAGTTCGTAAATGCCACTGAAATTGCATTAGGGTTCTTTTTGTTTGCTTTTCTCTTAGGTAGGCTTTAGTGAGGTCTATTGGGCAGCTAGGCTGTGGACCAATTGTAAAGACTCATGGCGTTGTTGCTCTTGGGTCGCCTCGACCCTAAAGGCCAATCAACAAATCAACATTGTCAGTGTGGTGACCCACTTACCGATGTCAACAGTCACTTGAGCAAGAACTATAAGTGTGTCATAAGAACGGTCGAAACCATGAAGCTGACCGAAGTAGACAAGCTGTGCACTATCAGATTCATCAGAAAAGTGACATATTCAGTGTGGTTCGCCAATTCGACAATGGTGGAAAAAGCAAAGGGTGCATGGCGTATGTGCCAGGATTATACCGATCTCAATAGGGCATGTCCCAAAGACAATTTATCCTTACCAAGAATCGATCAACTAGTGGATGCTATTACCGGTCATGAACTTCTCTATTTCATGGAGGCAGAGGCAAGGTACAACAAGATATTTATGCATATCACACCGATTAAGAGCACACCACCTTCATTACCGATAAAGGCCTCTATTGCTACAGCGTTATGTCCCTTAGCATAAAAATGTCAGCACCACTTACCAACAGTTGGTCAACCAAATTTTTTCCAAACACATTGGTCATACCATGGAAGTGTATGTCGAAGACATGCTAATCAAGAGTAAGAAGACCGATCATCACCTCTGTAACCTTTCACTCATGTTCAGCATCTTAAATAAATATAAGATGCTTCCCAATCCTATAAAGTGCACCTTCGGCAAATCTTCCTACAAGTTCCTCGGTTTCATGATCAGCTAAAGGGGCAATAAAGCCATCCTAAAAAGATCAAATCATTGCTCAAAATGCCGGTGCCAAAGATGCAAAAGAACATTCAAAGCCTCATTGGTTGCAAACCGCACTTTAAAATAAACTCTAAGCAAGCACGTATATATCTTTTAAATTTAAGTTTTTTCTTTTTCCTTGACTCTTAAATTAAAGATAACATACTAGAACTAGAATAGAAATACATACCCAAGTTCCCTTTATAATATATATGTATATGTATAGCCCATTTGCAAAAGTTTAGTTCACTAAGTACATTAAAATTAAAGGATAAACGTATTTTTTATGGTGCATCAACCTTGATTTATAATAAACTATAAATATAAAAAATAAAAAATAAAAAAAACACACACACACAAAACATGACTGCTGGTGCTATGCCTTCTCAGTGGTATTGCTACTGTTGCAATGACCTCTATACTTGGGACATGTGAAATGTCCAAACTCTTCCGTTTCAGCCCCTATGTTATCAACAAATATACAATTCAGTTTTTACTAGCAAAAGGACCCGCGCGGTGCTGCAGGTTATGAAATTATGTAAAATGTGTATAAAGTTGTGGAAGAAAAGAAATATACAAACATGAAAATGCAAAATGATGAGCAAACAAACATTACAAAATAAAGAAATCAGTACCAAAAAAAGAGAGTAAAGAGTATAAGGAAGAGAGGCAATCATGAATTATACCTTTAAAGCGAAGAATGGTTAAACAATTTGGGCGAACGACCGCTTCTCGTATTTGGATTTCGTACCCAAGCTCTCCTGAAACAATCAAAATTTCATGGAAGCCTGAAATTAAATCAGGGGGAAAAAACAGAAGGAAAGAGAGCAGAAAACACGTAGTAGTAGAGCCAAGTCGAATTTTGTGAAGGAATTTTAAGGCAACACAAAAAGGAAAAAAATGTCAATAAATCAAAATGAAGAAACATTAACTTGAAAGTTATCTTCGCTTCTTTGCTTTAGTGATTGCTTGTCAGAGAGGTGAGAGACCATTGAATCTGTTGAGATAAAATTCCAAAGTTTCAATAAGACATGTAGATTTGAATAACTTTTTAATTTTCATAAGTCATACCTGAAGTAATTGGATGACTGCCTAACTGTGATTCATACTGAAAAAAAAAGAAGAAATAAACAGTAATTAGAATGAAGTACAACAACCACATAATTACATAGCCTCAAAATACAACCAACCAACCAACTTGAAGCAAATACTTAAATTTCAGGATTCTAACAGTGTAACTACAAAAGAATTCTAACATTACACATCATGTAGCATGAAACTTAAATTGAAATCAAAACAACCAAAAACTAATATGAAATGCACAGTGAGGTTCGGTAATGCTTGTAGTAAAAGCTTAGCCAGAACGAAAAAGCAAAAGAAATGGATAACAAAATCACCCAAAGAGAAAGAGAGAATATTTTCTGTAAAAATGGCGTTGTAGAACAAAATCATAGCGTTACCTAAGAATATCCAGAAATTAAAGTGAAACCATATGCCGATGCCAAAAAAACAAATGCAATTTAGATAAGTGAAAGCAGAGATGGAGAGAAAAGGAAATTTGTTAATTTGTTTTAATTTTCTAACAATATCCAAAAGACACACACAGAGAGAGAGAGAGAGAGAGAGAGAGAGAGAGAGATTAAGCCCTGAAAAATAATTAAAAAAATCAGAAAATCAAAATAGACTAAAACCATTTGGTGAACCAAAAACAAAACCAAAATGAGAGAGAGAGAGATTCATACCATTGACATCAAACCCATCAAATCTAAATGCTTTTTTCATTGGTGCTCTGGAGAAACAACATATATAATCAAAGAAATTCCATTAGGATCCAAAAATTAGAGATAGTAAACATATCAAACCTAAATGCTTTCAACATTGAACCAAAAAGAGGAAGCATGGTCTAATGTATGAGAAATCCGAATATCACAACAAAACACAGATTCAAAGAACAACAACATCGAGCAAGCATATTGATGAATACTTCATCGACACTTAAGCTACATATTTTTGGGGAAAATCACAGCTAATCAGTAACAACAACATTGAGATTCAAAGTGATTAACTGGCATTTAGAAACCCTAATCCACTACAATGGGGTTGAAATATGAAACTGTAAATCTCCTTCTACTCACAACAATGGGGTTGGCTTAACCAACAAAGTAGAAACAGGAATGCTACCCAGAGATGAAAAATTTGTTCAATTATTAGGGGGAAAAAATGGATAAAGGGAAAAGTTAAAACAAATGCATTGACGATTAATGAGGAAGAAAGGTATTGCAAATGAATTGAGTTGTATAACTATGGATGTGCATTCAATTGAAAGCAATAACATTTTAAAAGTAAATTGTTGGCCAAAAGTAAACAAATTTGTTAACGATTAGAGTGTAAAATTATAAAAATTTGTTATGACAAATGGTAGGGGTTAGATTGCATAATCAACAACAAGAATTGTTTAATAAGAGCTGCGTTAATAGCCAAACATCAATGTCCAACCAAATATATGAATTCATGTATGTCATGTTACTATTTAAGTTGAAATAGTATAAGGGAGTGATTTCCTCACTATTGTATCTACCAAGATACATTGTAAACCAGAAAATTGATTATCTGATTTGAAGACTTTTGGTCTCCATGTTCTACACACACGAACTCTAATTGTAACGTCGAACTGAAACGGCTGGAGATCATGGATAGAAGCAATGTTCATTGTGTTTTGAATTTGAAAAAAGAAAAGGCTTTTATCACTATAAAGATGTGTACAAAATTATCTAGCAGTCATCAACATCGTCATGTTGGTATCTCTTTCTTTTTATGTTATATATTCATTCATGTTCACATATTGGCAGTAAAACACATCAAATAGCTATTGAGACAGTTTTTAATATCTATAACATGAAATCACCAAATGAATATATTCTACACAAAATTAGTATAAAAACATATGAACATAAAAACAAAAAATTAAAAATTAAAAAAACTAATATTAACAACAATAGATCATTACACAATTTAGAGTGATCCATCAACAGCTGATGAATTGGTTGTTTTTTGTTGGGGACAAAAGCAAGTGTTTCTAAAATAGAGAACAAAAACATAAAAGTTTTTGAAGCTTAGATCATGTGTTCATTTTTTGTTTCTTTTCAACATAGATACGAACCTCTTGTTTAACAGAACCAAAAACAACCACCAAACGGCTCTATCTAAAGCAGCAAAACACAACCTACAAAACATCAAAAGTAGACATGGTTAAGAAAGAAAAGGAGAAAAAGAAAGAAAAAATCGAAAAAATTGAAGGTTTTGGTTTTATAGTCCCAAAACTGTTCAAATATGTTTTCCTGTGCAGCATTTTTATATGAGATGCTTCAACTTTGTTAGTCCACTACTAAAACAAAAGAAAAATCCTAGAAAACAAAAACAAATAGAGACAAAACAAAACAGAATAACATCTCTCAAATATAAATCCTTTTCGACATTGGCAATATCGCAATGCAGCCATAATCAAGTAATTAATCAATTTAATTAACAATGATAGTAGAATTGTAGATCAATGGGCAGCAAATTCCCCCAGCAAGAAATTTGAAGAATCTATTTCCTTAATTTATATTCATTGTATTTCACTGGATACTAACACTAAATAATATATTTCAAATCCCATTTGAAACTATATTCTTTAATGCATGATCCAATATCAAGATTTTTCAACTTTTTGGCATTAAAATGAGGCAAATCAAGACTTTTGAATATAATACAAAATCCATCATCCATTGTTCTGTTAGTTTTCTTGGTATTAGATTGCCTATTGGCCAAGTTGTTCGATCAAGTAAAAGCTTTTCATTACTGCCACAATGATAAGGAATTAATCCTCATAGTCTTAGACTTGGCTTTTTCTTTTAGAAGAACACTGACAACAACATATTTCCAAAGGCTAGTTGCAGAGAATTCTCTCAGCTTTTAGAATATTACATGTAAAGTTCTTTGTCCAGTCGAAAATTCTAAATACTTGTCTTTTAGAAAAACAAAGAGAATAAAAAACTGGGGGCAATTCTTTTGAGCATAAATCAAACACAACCCAAAACAATTATAAAAAAGAAAAAGAAAAACAATCACTTTATCAATCAACAAAAATGATTAAAAAGGAAGATCAAAAGAGAAACCAAATAATAAATATAACCAACAACTGAAATATTCATCAATTTTAATCTCTTTTTTTTTCAAAACCTGCCTAAGCAACCAACAATTGAAATATTCACCAATTTTAATCCTTTTTTATTTATTTAAAAACCTGCCTAAGCAATGAAAAGTCACCTTAAACAATCAAAATCACAAATAACTATATTTACATATAGTCGTTGTCATCAAAGATTTGAAAATTCTTTGCTAAACTCAAAGAATTTCAGTTCTCTACTAAACCCTAAAAATTTCAAATAGCAGCATATCATGCTTACCAAAACAACAGAGCTGTCCTAAACCCTGTAACAAAAGAACCAGCATATCCAAATACCGATTTTCAGGGTTTACCAACTAAATTTTTAATAACCAAATAGAAAATCTTATCAAAAGCAATCATATATTATTTTAATAACTAAATTGTTTAACATGATTTAATCAAAATAATAACACAATCAAATCAATTTCAGCATTTGGATCAAATTTGCAAATCAATAACACAAACCCACGATGAGGAAAAATTAGGGATTTGGACTTTTAGGGCAGCAAATTAAAACAGATCTTATAGTCTAATCAAATAAGATCCAAGATATTAGTAACAACAAAAATGAAAAAGAAGAGCAACAAAAATCGAATGGAAAGATGAAGCAAAATTTACTTACAGATCAGTGAGAGAAAGAGACTGAAACGGAGAGAAAGTTGGAGTTGGATCTGAAGAAGAAGACCAACGCAGTGGCGGAGAGTCGGTGCTTGTGATGATGACGGCGGCGGTGGCAGAGAGAAAGGGAAAGAGACGGGGAGAGAGTTGGAGAAGACGACTATGATCTCTGAGGCCTCTCTCTCTCTCACTTCTCTTCGATGAAGCGGCTTTGGTTTCTCCAGCGACCAGACAAAAGGGTTATGTCGCTATGCATTAGGGCAAAAATGCCATTTTACTGAACATAATTAAGAGGGCAACCAATTAAGCAGGGGCACAAACGTCATTTTACTATTGCGAATGAATAGTCTAGGAACAATATCTTTTATTCAGTTTTGGAACCTATTGTTCAAACCCAAGAGCAGCAACGAGAAAATGCTAAAGCATGGAGAGCTACCATAGCTTTAGATATGTGGAGAAATGCTACTTAGGTGGACATGAAGCTACATCAAATTGGCTACTAAAAGATTGGGAAAACTTTATTGAATTTTACTTTTCTTTGTTAAAATTGTGTTTCTTTGTTATCTTTTTCATTGACTCTTGTAACTTTGAATGTTTGCTTTTATTTATTGTTCCATTCCATTTGATCCCGTTTATGTTATTGCTGATGCAAGTGCCCACAACTAAGTTGGTTGGTTATCGTACAAATAAAAAATCCATGTGGTCCTTTCAAATCTTATAAATTCTTATGATATAAATCTTTAAAATCCAAACATAAAAAATCCTGAGTATAAAAAATCTTTCAAAAAAATCTTATAAGTCATTACATTCTTAAATAGTCTTTTAAAATCCACTGGACTTATTTATCCATAAATAGTCTTTTAAAATCTCAATTGAATACACCCCCCTTAGTATATATATAATTTTTATTTCTTTTAACAAAATTAAATTTTATATATATATATATATAAATCACTCACTCGTTTAACTTCATCTCATCCTCATATGAGAATGGTATGATCACCAACTGATTCTTTTGAGCTATACTGACTATCTCTTGGTGTTATTCTTTGGACACAATATCATAATTGATAGCAACCTTCTTGTTTGGGTTTTATTGATTGTTTTTTTTGACAAGCTTCACATTTCTCATATTTTGAACATTGCTCACCAACAAATGTGGTAATTTGTTCAAGTTGTCCATTACATTGTCTATTTGGTTCTTTACTTGTTTAGTAGCTTTAAGCAGTTGTTGAGATGACAATTGATGATGCCCAAAAATGAATGACTACTTGTGGACCCAACTTATCTTCACGTTGGACGCGTCATAATTTTTTTTAATTATAACTTAAGAGGCACGCACCATAAAAAATATGTGTATCCTTTAATTTCAATGTACTTGGTGAACAAAACTTTTGCCTAATAGGCTAAATAGATGTATATATTATAACGGGAACATGGATGTGTATTTATATTCTTGTTCTAGTATGTTAACTGAAATTTAAGAGTCCATCAAAAAGAAAAAACTTAAATTTAAGAGAGAGATGCGTGCTTGATTAGAGTTTATTCTAAAGTGCTCATATTTTGAACATTGCTCACCAACAAATGTGATAATTGGTTCAAGTTGTCTATTACATTGTCTGTTTGGTTCTTTACTTGTTTAGTACCTTTAAGCAATTTTTGAGATGACAATTGTTGATGCCCAAAAATGGATGACTATTTGTGGACCCAACACCCAACTCATCTTCACGTTGGACGCGCTATAATTTTTTATATAATTATAAATCAAGGGGGATGCACCATAAAAAATATTGTATCCTTTAATTTCAATGTACTTGGTGAACAAAACTTTTGCCTAATGGGCTAAATAAATATATATTATAAAGGGAACATGGATGTGTATTTCTATTCTCTTTTTAGTATGTTAACTGAAAGTTGTATATTCGTTGTTTA